AACGTGTGAAAGTGGTCAATTGTTTCCCATTTGTGTCAACCCAACATTTTGTTTGTCAAATCATAATAGATGGGGCATTTAAACATAAAATGAAATACAAATATGACAAAATGTAAAATTCTCAAATTTCTAACAATATCTTCTCTTCTACCAATATTTGTATTGTCTGTATTTCACCTATTGGTAATAATATCAACACACGCCTAAGATCCTTTTGATGTGCTTTCAATAAATAAAGTAGACTTTAAAGATACACACAAATCTAAATTCGAGTGATCACTAATCTTAGATTGCCATGTTTTTTTAAAGAACTGATGAACAAATTAAAATCCCCTACACCTTGATATACCAAAACAAAACAAAACCCATATGTACGGTTTTTAATGCGTCAGCTGACGCAACCTTCCACAAGGTTTTGTTAGAGTAAGTATAGCAGTGTAACGTATAATACTGAGCCTAAGTTTACTTAGACTGTCAGCGACTGTTTACTCACTCTTTCGGCGTGCTCCATGTGCATCACTCGGAAGCGATCGTACGGAAAATAGCATTCGGAATCGTTCGGGTACAAAACTTTTTCGAGGTAAAAGTTCAAAAGGTATGTGCGAATGTCAACTTTCGCGATTTGGTAAGCTGTGTTCTGATTGGTTCATTGAAAAGGTCAGCTGACGCGACCTTCCACAAGGTTTTGTTAGACTAAGTATAGCAGTGTAACGTATAATACTGAGCCTAAGTTTACTTAGACTGCGTTCGTCTTGTAGTTCATGGGTCGTCTGCTCTGGCAGATGTTTTCTTACAACGTCCAAATTTTCTTTCCTTGCAGGGTAGAGCATTATGTGCTATTCATTGTTTGACAATGTTCCAAGGGCAATACATTGTATATAATCAGTGATAAGCAGTGGTGTGCTATATTTAGACGTGCTATATAGAGACATAGTTCTGGAAGGTACTACAGGGTACTACTAACCTAATTACTTCTCCACTATATTCTGTTATAAAGTTACAAAAAGACCAGCAATTGTATGGATATCATTATTACCCTGGCGACCCTATTTCAGAAACTTGACCATTCTTGCAGTGACGTGATTATTATCTCTCGGCATTTATTGCTATAAACACTGCTTTTGTATCATACTGCCCTTGGTTGTGCATTGCTACTCTATTTTGCCACTGTCATATCTATGGCATTAAATTATAAACTTAAGTAATTTAGAATACAATCAAAATTGTATCACATTGCTTCGTTGTTTGTTGGCTTCACACTTTGGTTCTTTCAAGGACTGATTTCCGGTGAGCTGTAAGTGTCAGCATGAAAACCAATACGCAACATTAGAACTTAGTTCTTTTGTGTTCGAACGTTTGTGAGATTGGATTCTTACTGTAGTAATTTAGTGCACAAAATGTTTTGTGTGTGGCAAAGTAAACGTTAAAAATGTCTGAGAAAACGGTTGCAGTGCGAGGCATGTTAATGTTACTTCAGAGTATTTGTTTTTAACTGGGTTATTTTTGAAAAACCGACTCACAGCAAACACATATCCATTTCAAGGACAGTATGTACATATTGTGGTTGTTTGCACTGAGGTAAAACACCCTTTCACAACTAGATCGAAGGTTGAATTACAACCATGACTGATTATATTTCTCTATATACACCAAGCTAGTGCTGCCTTGTGCTCTGACGATGACAACGGACGTCTGATAGGTCATCTGGATCTATATTTATCAATTTTATCTATTCCGTTCTGGATAAACGACGATATTTTAACATCCCAGTTGACATAAACCGATGAAGTGTTGATATTCTGAGAAGGGCTGAATCCTCCTTGGGAGGTGTCACTCGGGGTCACTCTGAAGATAATGATCCTTAAAGTCATTAGTTTGCTGCTGTTTTCTGGCCGACCATCATGGATGTTAACCAACATTTCTTGCAATAGCCTCCATAGACGGTCTAGCATTCCGCATACCAATAACTTTGAAGAGTTGTCATTTGCAGCCCCATATATGATGTTATTTCACCATAAGTGTCACAAACTTGTCATGATGAAATCGAAACTCATCGGCAGAAGACTCCACCGTGATTATTCAACGGGGTTCAAAGGAATTTATGACTTCAGCAAGCACTGGAGTAAACGCATACGATGCGAAAGGATGTCGAAACGTATAAAAGTGGAACTAATAATGCATTCAAACGAATATATATGTTTTTGTTCTAAAGGCGCCTGTTTTTCGTATTATCACTAACATGGACCGTACGTGCGCTTCATGCCTCAAGGCAGGGAGACCTATTGTAATCGTTTGGATTATTATTCTTATTTATTATTCCTCCGTTTTTTTCCGTACCAACCATGGCTCCAATAGCAGTGCTCAGAATCGCCCAATAGTAAAGGACAGATACTTGAAAATTATTCCAAAAGTACTAAGTTTGACAGCAAATATCTCCAGAACCAATGGTTGAAAAACGTTCACATTTCTTGTGCAGATGCGCAGTCGAATTCTCAACAGTTTTGCCTGGATGGGTCAAGTCGCTAAAATGCACCGATTAGCAGCTACAGTGGTTTTAAGTGTTTAGCCGTCTTTTTAAAGTTTTCTCGGTAGCTTGCTCCCAAATGTGCTGAGCTCGAACTCGACATTTGTCCAGGAACTCCTCCACATTGAGCACAAAAGTGCCCACATGCGCCTTCGATGGCCGCCATATTGAGTGCTACTTCTCACAGTTTCAGACCTTTTCCCGATTTTCTCAAAAGCAAACTTACCAGGTGAAACATGAATTTCTTTTTTCAGAACCTGTATAAAATATTGAGTGATTGCATCTGATAGCTCAGGTCATCTCGATTTTAGAACACTAGTTTTGACTGTAGACCCAAGGACAACAGGGCTACAGCCTGTTAAAGAGGCAACTATTTCTTCGGGACTACTTCGAAGGTACATGTCTCCGCGACCTCGGCTGCATTTCAGAGATCCATTCTTGTGTCAAAAACGGGTTCTTGGTTCTGTTTCATTTTTGCGATTTCTAGTCCTCAAATACACTTGAAACACCTGTAATTCTGTTTGCCTCTGCATGTAGGCTATCAGTGCCCATTATACCTACTCCAGGAACAGAGCTCCTAAAAAAACAACGGAGGGAAAAGTCTATTTTGCTCACCATAGTTCCTGTCTTCATCGGTTGTCAACAGAGCACAATGAAAGTTCCCAATGTGTATTTTGGTAGTTTACTGATTTATTATTCTACGGTGGATGTTGAAAGTCTCACCGTTTGGTGATTATATACATATTTAGTAAGCATCTGTTTACATAGAGTCAAGTGTCATTATCTCAAGTAGAGAACACAACCGTTTTTATCTATGCTAGGACGATGATAATTCCATTTTAAAGTTAAAGAACGAATAAACTTTGTTTTTTTGTTCACTTATAACCATTACATATGAAAAACCTGTGGTTAGTTTAGCGAGTTGGGGGTCGAAGTGACAATATTGTGCGATAAATGTCTTGCTACATTCACGTGGTTAACGTCCACTCACCACTATGCAGATACTAGTCGATCGTGATGAGCGATGCTGATCATCGTTTTCACTAATACTAACCTCTGGCTCGAACAAATAAGGCCAGACAGACAGACAGACAGGTTTATTAAAGTCTCACTCGTAGTACATATAAAACATATATAACTTCATATATATATACATTATAAATAAAATATGCTACGACCAGTCGCTCAGCGACTTATGAGAGACATCTTAAGCATTATTAAAATAAAATATTCATAAAAAATATATTTACAAAATACAGCTATATAAAATGGTCATGTAAATTAGCCTTATAAAATTTCACGTCTTTTAACTAAAATATCATGGCAGGTTTTGGCAACGCTAAAAACTACATCGGGGGAAGTAAAAATATATGAAACCCTTTCATGGCAAGATAAATCCTTAAAATGAACGTTATTAAGAGCACATTTTTGCATAAGATCTTTTCTGATATAGTTAAAAGCTGGACATAAAAATAAAACATGGGTTTCATCCTCGACTACATTTTGGCAGTTAAAACAAAATCTCTCGTTGTGCGATTGTTTCTTCATTGAAGGAAAAAGGACAGATTGTCGCTGTCTGAATTACTTCCGGACATGTTAGAGTCTGCTTTGTACCGAAATGCCAACCCACTGAATTAACCATATTGAAATCACTTGACATAAATGGTTTAACACCTAAGTAAATTTGGGAACAAAAGGCAGACCTAGCCCACAGGTTACCATTATGACAACAAGCGATTTTGACGAGAATCGTCTATGAAAACAAGTTGTAACTCTGAAGCTACTCCAAGCTAGGCAAAGCAGGTGACAAAATTAATGAGAGTAGATTGTGAGAACACATTACTTTCATTTTTCACAACAATTGTCACGATTTCAGGTTAAGACAAACCTGTAAACAAAATAATTTACCCCCAGAAATGTACATGAATTCTACAGTGCCCCTCATATCAATACCTCACATTACGTCACGGAGACGCGCCCCTCTGATTGGTTGAAATTTCATTTGCGCAGTGTTGTCAAAAAGGTCGATTTAAGTTAATTAAGGGTCGATATGAGTAGTTTAAGTGACGGGGTTTCATTTATAACGATGCCATTAAATGATTTATGCATTTGTACCTCCCTAGAGTATATGTGATCTTTAATGAAGGAAGCATTTCCTATTACTGGAAGTGACATGATCCATACAAGATGTTCCATTTACTATTTTTTTAATGAAACATCACTATTTGCTCTGAATGTCATATGATCTCAGTCACTCGAGTGCCTAGTCGGAATTTTTTGTTTTCGCTTTTGTTTGCAGATTTTCTGTTGTAATACGGCGGCACAAAAATATTTCCCCAACAAGACATTTTACTATTGGAAGGATAAGCGTTTGATTGCAAAATTTGCAAAGAAGGAAAACGCCTAATTGAGGAAGGTCTACATGGCCAATTAAGTTCTTTCGGGGTGAAGCCAAAATGGATAAAGGAGCCCGATATCGCTGCTTGTTGCTATATTTATATTATTAACCAATAACTTGACAAAGAGTCTGGTGTCATGCTGATGTATCCGAAGTCTTGTTCCTTTTGTTTCACAACGTTGCAACACTCACAGGGTCTATGCTTTGTGTCCTTGTTGACGTGGTGCTGATCTAAACAGTATTAATTTCGGGGAATAGCTTTTACTTGGAATTCACTTGGCGAATGCGTGAAGCCCATTATTCCATCCATTGGAGGCTTTTTCCCGTTCACTGGGACGAACTTGAACCTCTGAATCATGGTGGTGAGGAAGAGGAAGAGCTCCATCCGGGCCATTGCCTCCCCCAGGCAAACCCTTCGTCCTTGAAATATGAAAACAAAGGTACAGTGTCATTACTGTATGTATGTATGTATGTATGTATGTATGTATGTATGTATGTATGTATGTATGTATGTATGTATGTATGTATGTATGTATGTATGTATGTATGTATGTATGTATGTATGTATGTATGCATGCATGCATGTATGTATGTATGTATGTATGTATGTATGGAGAGAGAGAGAGAGAGAGAGAGAGAGAGAGAGAGAGAGAGAGAGAGAGAGAGAGAGAGAGAGAGAGAGAGAGAGAGAGAGAGAGAGAGAGAGAGAGAGAGAGTTTGTGTATGTATGTAGGTCCGCCCGTGCGTGCGTACGTGCGCATGTAGTAACTCACCCAAAGAAAAGGGGATAAATTCCTCCCTCTTCTGAATCTTGCCTGCGCCATCGAGGAAACGGTCCGGCCGAAAGTTTTGCGGGTCTCCCCATACATCCGGGTCTTGGAGAACTGAATCAAGGTTCAACATGACTGTAACGCCTTTCGGGAAGGTGTATCCCCTGAACTGTACATCTTGTGGAACTGCGTGGGGGACTGCCGTAGGGACAATGTCAGCGTACCTCAGTGCTTCCAAGATGGTAGCCTCCACGTAAGGAAGGTTCGTCTTGTCCTTCATGGATGGTCGTCTGCTCTGACCCACGTTTTCCAGAATCTCCTGGAAGCACCTCTCTTGTACATCCGGGTAGTTCAGGAAGTAGACTAGCGCCCAACGTATTGTGGTGGACGTTGTCTCTGTACCCGCAGTGAACAGATCAGCAATAACCCGAGCCAGATTCCCCACTGCCAACATAAAGTTAATGTAAGTGCTGGGTTCAAACGTTCACGTAAAATGACTTATCTAAAACCGGAAACACCACAATCATATTCCAGCGAAATACTTGTTAATAGGTTAAAATGCAGTTAACAGAATCAACAACGTTTGTACTTCAATCAATGTAGATTCTGAAAAAACGTTCAGCTTCCACAGTCTGTCAATGTAAGAGATGTTTACAGAACAACAATACATTTTGATAGAATTTCAGATCAAGGTCTAAGTGCAAAGGCCAAATTAAAGTCATGTTTAAATAGGGTTGGGTATCCTAGTGGTTGAAGTGTTCGCTCGTCACGCCGAAGACACGGGTTCGATTCCCCATATGGGTACAATGTGTGAAGCCCATTCCTGGTGTTCCCCGCCCTGATATTGCTAGATATTGCTAAAAGCGGCATAAAACTAAACTGACTGACTCACTCATATTTAAATAACATGAGCAAGGAAATGCATTTTGACATAATTTAAGAGCAATATTAAGTAAATGCACACACAGAATACGACTTTACAGAATACTATGTTTAAATAAAATATTACATGATATCCTAGTAAAATACCAAACCCTACACGGGAAAGGAACGGGAAATTTCATGTTCCCATGAATTAATACTAAGTACTAATACTTTAGTAGTTCGAATGTTAACGTAAGCAATTAAAAACAGTTTTTGGCCTTGCAAGTAAATATCCAACAAACTTCAGTGATGGTGATACATTATGCACATCCCACAAATATCGTAACACAAGATAAACTTACAGTCTAACGTTGTTGTTTCTTGTGTCTGTTGGCGACGTCGCATTTCGGTCAAGTACACATGGATGAAGTCGTCTCGATTTTCTTCATTGTGATCGTTTAAGTGGCCCTTAATTGAAGGTTGAATCAGCAGATTGTGCACTAAATTGATATTGTCCATTGTTTTCGTGAACTTAAACGGATCTCCAGGCAGAAATCGCACAACAGGAAAAACGTTCAATACTCCAGTTGCTTTGGTATTTTGAAAATTCTCATCCAGAGATTCCAGAAATCTGACAAAGAGAGGGTCGGTATATTCAAAGCGTTTGCCAAATACAGTAGAACAGATGATATTTGATACGGCATTCTGCACAAGACGTTGTATATTGAAACCCTGTCCTTTCTGTTCCTCCAGAGCCAACAGAAACTGTGCAATTTCCTCGTGTATTTTGTCCTCCATGATGGTTCTTCCCACTCCAAACTCTCGCAGAGCATTGAGAGCAAATCGTCTCTGTTCATGCCACAAGTCCCCGGAGGTTCCGATTACTCCTGTTTGGAAAATACAATTAAGTAGAATCAGGGATATGACATGATGTGGCAACGTTGTTTCTGTTAAGACTCGGTTTAGGTCAATGGTGACCTGGTTACTGTATTAAGACACTCTTGTGGAGTGTTGTTTCGAGAACTTAATTGTTAAAGGAAAAATTGAAGTCCACATGATGTGTTATATATCCAAGTGTTATCATCTCACAGCTCTCTATTATCAAGTTTGGACAATGGTCATTGTGAATGCATGTCACCCGTGTTCTCCTAGTTGTTACATCCTCCACAACAATGACATGACACACAATGGCATTGGATACGGTGCAACACCCGAGAATCGAACCGTTTAATGGCCATATCTTCACACATGTCAATACATCAAAAACATTCATAAATGCCGCCTTTGTACCAATGACTTACATAATATTTATGTACATATCCTGATCGCACAGTACATGTATTAAAGAATCATGTACAATACCAACCATAGATTTATACATTTTATATTGCTTAACATATGAACAAAATCACGGCGACAATATTTCAACTCGCCGACAAGCCATCCACATCGGCAAAAAGCCATCTTCCTCGGCGACAATATTGCAACTCGGCGACAAGCCATCAACATCGGCGACAGGCCAGCATGAAGCGACAAGCTTCTCCACATTTCGCAACAACGTATCGGCGACAAGCCCTCAGCTGGCTACAAGCCATTATAAGGCAACAAGCCGTCACCTGGCAACGAGCCATCCACTGGGCGACAGATCTCTCAAGACGAACCCATCACTACAACAAACAGAAATACATATGATAGACGTACATGTTGAACATTTGTATTTATCTTTTTCAAAATGACATCTAATTTCTCGGATATGGGTCTCTCATCCATGTTGTGTGCACCGTAACCGAGAATGGCATATTCAAACTTCTACACCCTTTATATACCCCCTTTAATCGCCCTCTACATTCATGATCTCCCTTTGTTGTATCTTCCTACGCTAGGAGAAAGAAATTTCATTCTAATTCGTAATTCATAACAGTAGTGTCAATGATAATACCGAGCCATTCCAAGACGTGTACAGATTCCCATAAACTCTTTTCTACCTTAGGTACAAAATCTGAACGAATCAAATCGTTCTTCAGCGATTGACCTGATTCAAAAGCTAACTGCTTACTCATACCGGATATGATACCGTCATCTAAAAACGTCACAACTCTGTGTCCTTCAAAACGCCAATATTTAACCAACTGTCTGGTAACCTTGGTGAATACATAGCAGTGGAACGGCCAAATGGCAACACTAGAAATTTGTGATAAACTTTGTTCACACCCTCGGCCCAAGCAAAATCAAGAAATTCTGTATGTTTATAATAAAAAAATGTCAATATGGTGGTAGGCAGAGTGAATGTCAAACTTTAAAAGCCAGTCATACTTATCTATAAACAACATAGCTGTTCTCCAGTTTTCGTATTTCACAGATTTCTTCCATAAATGCTTATTTCACCAAAGATAAATCTAAAATCAAACGTCGTTTACCGGAAGACTGCGTTGACACACTTAAAAGGTTAACCACTCTTGGTTTACAACAGCAAACTGTCACTAGGCCTTTGCGAACCAAATCTTGAATTGCTTCATCAACAAACAGACGATTGTTTATGGCGGATCTGTTATTCCGTATTTCCATAATATCTGGAAGTGAGTAAAATGGAATTTTGTACCCATTTTCTATTATCTCTATTACAAATCTTTCCAAAATGAAACATTGGCTTTAATCCTACCTTTCACAATGATTTCTGCCTGACCACTTTCATATTCATAAAAGTAAGATGTTGATGTACGAACATCACTCTTATAGTCATGTACATAAGTATCAATATACTTAACTTCAGGCTTTGCAGATGATCCAGATGACGTTTGTTCCGGAACTTGCTTTACAAGACTGGGCTTGTCCGAACAATGGGGGGCAATGACGTCTCCAGTGGTTGAACTCCCCGGAGTGAAAGCAGGCGCCTGCCCTTTGACCCCGGCCTCGAAAAACCTGACTGCTAGTAGAAGCAGTAGCAGCACGGACATCCTCCCCTTGACTCGCCTGAGTGACTGTGGCTGAAGGTCGCGTGCCAAATTACCTGTAGGGATGAGCACGCGCAAAACAGGAACTCCTTTCTCTGAGCTTCTTAACCGCTTTGTTTTCCGCCCGAGTGATCCGCTTGTCTTCCGAGTCTGTGGCCAAATCACGGGAAACATACTGTCTCACAGTTTCCCACCCTCCTTCCGAGGAGTCTGCAATCTTGATCAACTTATTACGTTGCTCCAAACGCTTGATTTCATTGGTTAAAAGCTCATCTGAATAATCCAGTTTCCCATACTTTATGCCGAACTGAATCTGATTTAAAGTTTCAAGAGTTTCTTCATTCAATTTAAACCGAATCTTATTACCCTATCTGTTCCAAGAATAGTCTTTCTCTGCTTTCAACCGTTGCAATTCTTTTGACGTTTGCTCAAATTCACGTCGAAAACCTTGCAAACGTTCATCCAGCTCAAGTTTTGAATCGTCCAATCTTTCAAATGACATCTAATTTCTCGGATATGGGTCTCTCATTCATGTCGTGTGCACCGTAACCGAGAATGGCATATTCAAACTTCTACACCCTTAATATACCCCCTTTAAACGCCCCCTACATTCATTATCACCCTTTGTTGTATCTTCCTACGCTAGGAGAAAGAAATTTCATTCTAATTCGTACCTCAAACGAAAGAAATTATATTTCTCTTGTATATGCAAGTTTCAAATTCAAATATGATTGTGTCAGTGATTGTGTGGACAATGCAGTACAACAAGGTAAAATGATAATTGACAGGCAAAAAACCCCCAAAACCCAGTGTACTTGATACTTCATTTGATGCTCCTTTCAGTAAATAATAAACACAGTTAATATTTTCAATATGGCTGTCGTGAATGCCATGTTTGATATCGGAGCAGAAGTGTGAATCAGTTTCTAGATTCACTATTGAAACACCTTCAATTTGGCTAAAGCATAAAGGAAACGTACCTTTTCCCTTTGTTACAAAGTCCATTAATGAAGAGTGCGGTCTGTCGGAGAAGACGTCGGCGTTCTTGACCATGGCTTCTTTGAGAACGTCGTAGCCGTTGAGGACGATGAGAGGCTTGTGGAAAACATACAGACTGAAAATATCGCCATATTTCTGTCGGAGGTTCTTGAACAAGACCCGGGGATCAGAGTCCATGGACAGGGCGTTCCCCACGAACGGAAGGAGAGGGGGGGCCGGGTGGAAGTCCAGGTGCTCGCCGCGTTGACAGCCATAACACTACCAGTACCACGACCAGAAATAAGGCAACTGTTGTAACTCCGAAGTCCCACATCGTCGTGCGGTAGTTTCCAAACTGTCTAAAACCTGACACGAGAGAGCGAGGCTTAGTACAACCGTCGAGTGGCGCATTCCCAATACTCACTGTGATAACACCGCCGGTTTATCAATGTGTACAGAGTGAGTCAGCCCAAAACTGTGCATGTGCACATATGCCGAGTGGCCCTAACCTGTGATAAATTAAACGAGAGTCATGATCAATACTAAATGTTTTGGAGTTGGCTTCGGCTATATATATTTTAAACTGAAGGACACTTTAACCGGTCGGTCTGACACGCTCCCGGTATACATGGTGACGGATTAACCTCTGAGCCTCAGAATACAGAAATAAAACATGGCATTAAATATATTTGAATTTATCCTTTGATGTTTCGTAAGATGGGATATTTTTGTTGCTTAACGCTGTCTACAAACGGTAGCCAGGCTGTAGATCATGCTTATGTTCATATTCTAAAGTTACATGACCAAAACAGTCATTATTTGACTAATTTCACTAGTTTCTCTGTTCCGATCTTAATTCTCTCGAATGCTGATAGTTCCGTTAAACAAACAAAACGGGAAACTTTCATTTGTTTCCTCGTCCATCGTCAGTTTCAAAAGGTTGCAACTGCAGACGATTTGCCCGAACAACAGTGAAACAAATCGAGTAAAAATATGCAGAATATATGTTGATTTCCGTCCTGGTGACAGAAGTTTGCAGTTTGCTGTGCAGAGTCATGTGCATTACTGTAACAGGATCCGCTGTTAAGTATTCGAATTCTCAATTCTGCTTTATTTTGATCGGTATGAGAGCTAATAGGTTTTGTCAACGCCTCCGTCGGGTTTACACACATGCTGATGTCAGAGCCCCATTGCTACCAGGCAGCTCTCTATAGCCATACTTCGTCCAATAGGCTCCATGCACTGTAGGCCCAACACACCGTCACTATACCATAGGCTCCATGCACTGTAACCGAGACAGTCGTTCTACCGTGTTATAAGAGCGCCAGATAAACAATATTAATATTTAATTTATGATACTCAGTAATTGTCTCATATTTAGTATTAACTTGTCAGATATGATGCTTAGTGTTATAGATTGTTCTAGCATTCCATGGTGCAAATAAACCCACGTGTACTTACTAAGTAATACGTACATATACTCCTCACAAAAAAATAAGCAACACAAATTTTTAGTCTCATTACATTATCATTTATCGAAATTGCAAATCATGGAATGATGCAATAGAAAGGTGACACATATGTACACACGATTAACAAAATGAAATGAAATGGTATTGAGCAACAATAGACTTACAAATCATCAAAAACATGTACCCGTGAAACAGTCGTGAAAAATGTGCTGCATTGATGTTAACATTACAGTTGAAGTCAGTTTTGGACAGTGAAGCAGTGGTCAGTAACGCGTATGACCATCATGAGCACGAATGCAAGCTTCTACACGTCTTTCCATTGACCTTATGAGCTTTTAAAGTTGCTGTTGTGGAATGTCCTGCCATTCTCTCTGTAACGCCTGTTCATGTACATCCAGAGTCTGGGGGTGAACATGGAGACCGTAAATGTCCTAAGCTAAGATCAGGTGACCTTGCATGCCAGTCCATACGTGTGCTGTTGTTGATCTAAGCAACATCGTTAACAACTCTTTCTCAGGCATTATCATCCATGGACGAGCATTATCACCCATAATAATGAAGTTAGGACCCGCTTGTTGTACCAGAGGAATGATTACAGGTAGGTTTACACCGATCAGGGTGCATATGTGAAGAGTGGAGGACATTCATGCCACACATTTTGCATGTTGTTTCTGAGGGTGGTTGTGTTCGGGTGATGTTGTCAATGTTATCAGATAAATCAATTTGACAGTCACTAAAGGTTATGTATTCTTTGAATATTTACAATTCAGTAACGTGTCAGCAAAAATCGCTATCAAGATTGATAAAGATATAACACTGAAAATACTTGTTGCTTATTTTTGTGTGAGGAGTGTATGTAGTCGTCACGATTGCACATCTGTCAAGATTATCAGCATCGAACGAGCCATTGGAATGTCGCAGACGGGGGCTTAGCAAATGATCGTCAGTCGTGAGTTCGAATCTCGTATTCCCCACCCCCACATGAAGGCTGCAAAATGTAATACGCTATGGCTGCAACATGGAGTCAACTAGTATCACAGGCGGATCCAGCGAGGGGGGTGGGGTGCAGGGGTGCGGACCCCCTCCCCCTTTTTTTCCCAGAATTTTTATTAAATGACCATAAAAACTCTCGTGGAAATCAAATGAGCACCCCCTTTCTCAAAAGGCTGTATCCGCCCTGAGTATTATATCAACAGTACGCTGTCTTCATGTTACAATGGTTCGGTTGTATAAGTTGGTGTTAATTTGTACGTTATATACATATAACAGAGTAGGTTGCATTCCGCGTGTTTAAATATTGTCTCTGTCGTTGTACATTCAGTTATTTTGATCTGCATTTAAGCCGCAGTTGGTTGTAATCTGCTTGATTAAGAAACAGTAGGTTTGTATCTGCGCATTTAGTAACCAGATCATATCTTCACCTCGTTAACACCCCGTTCCCCCTCATACACCCCCGCCCCCCGTCTCTGTGTGTGTGGTAGTTCACAACACAGGCTGCAGTTGCCCCTGTGTACACACTCTGCATGTCGCAGCAAGTAGGCTGTCACAACTCAAGGACGTTTCGTCCTAGCTTGGTGTGTGCACATTGATAAATCATTCTCTCAGTCTTATAGCTGTGTGTTGTTATGTCTCTTAAGTGGATTAGTCCATTGTATGGAATAGGTAACAGGCAGGGGATTAACAGTGCAACAGACCGTAAACTATATTGTTGTAAGCTGTAGGGGTAGTGGCATGTAGGGGTAATGGGGGGTTACCGAATCAGGTATTGGTGACATTGCATAATACCTCTAGAACAAAGGTCATTTTATAGGCCGGTTAAGAGTCATGGTGACCGCCCGGGAAACCCACATTTGAAAAATAACGAAGTCACATTTCAAGTACAACCCCCGTGCCGCGAATCGCCGCGAAAACCACAATGAGTAAGGGAATCAATACCGTTTTTTCAAATAGCGTCACCCATTGATCACAATGGATTAAAATTATATTAGTGACTTGTCCTTTGTTTGTTTAGTTAACATATGATGGGTGGCTTCTTTATTCTGGTTGAGGATTTTGGCTTACATGTGATAACATTAATCTTTTTATGTTTATTTCGTTTTATTAATATTGCATTCTCTGGTTATATTGTAGATTGTATTATCAGCTACTAGTTGAGGGAGGTGTAAATGTTTTGTATTATTTTGAATGTATGTGATAATCACATTAAGTTATCGATGTTCCATATACTGAAAACGTTGTATAGGCCGTTAATGAGCCTTTAGACTGCCTTCACATTGATGTAGATTACGTATCTGCATACACAGTCAGTATTATATGAATAAAGATTTTCTCGTTCACAGATGTCCCATATACTGATAACAGTATGGGGCGGGTCATTTTAGAGGCCGTTTAGGAGTCATTAGACAAAGCGTGTGTAACAAAGTTCTGCTGTCGTTACTTTGACGTAGATAACACATATACGCACACAATCAGTAATTGGGTAATGCATGAATCCGGACTTCTTTGATGGGCATTTTAGAAGTTGAGTTGATGAAGAATGATGACAATTTTTTGGATATACAACTTCTTTTATTCTGTGAAGGGCGACGTTTCGACATAGGTTCTAATGTCGTTGTCAAGCAAGTTGTCAGCAATTGGGTAATGCAAGTGATCACTTATACACCTGGAGAAAAGTTAAGCACCCCCTGATAATTTTTCAGTGATGAAGGTAAGAACCACATGAAATAATCTACCCAATGAGATGAGCTAAACGATTGGGATCTGTACGAACAACCCACAAACAACAAGGAACAGCCACTTTAGCGAGTTGATATGATATTTAATTCATGATATTGTTGTGCAAACACGGGCGCTATTTTCACCTGAAAACATTACTCCTTTACGTATGGAGGTGCAGAGTTCATGCCATTATGGAATTCTGCACATGCTTCCTAAAAACATTGCTTAAGGTCTGTAGATGACATCTGTATGTCAAAATGTTCAATAGCGGGGGAGAACCCTCCATGAGCTTGAATGACAGTCTCAACCCTGCGTCGCATGCTTCCAGTCAGACGCCGGATCAGCTCCCGGGGCAACTGCTGCCACTCTCTATGCAAGGCTGCTTCCAATTCACGTAGATTCGCTACTGGAGGTTCCAATGCCTGTGTACGACGAATGTCCCAAATGTACTCCAACGGATTCAGATCTGGACTCATTGCAGGCCAAGGCAAAGTTGTAATAGCGTTGTTCTGGAGGTAAGCAGTCATTGCCCTTGAACGATGGGGTCTGCCATTGTCATCCATGAACTGGGGTCTTGTGGCCAGTGGGTGGTTATCAAAATGGGGGACAACAACTGGTTCCAGGACATTTCGGATGTACAGTTCACCTGTAAGGTTGCCTCGTATGGTAACCAGGTCCAACTTTCAATCATGGGAGCAGAAAACGACTTTCATCTGACCAGTAAATTTTTCGCCATGTCCTCAGATTCTACGCACGTCGCGCCAGACACCATGCCAAACGAAGCCTCTGATGGTCATCTGTCAGTAGAGGGCGTTTGATTACTCTTCTGGACCTCAGGCCTACAGCTCTTAAGCGATTTCTGACGGTTCTGTCGGAAAGACGACGTGCGTCTCTTGAACACACCAGGTTTACCACAAGTTCGTTTCTAGGTTTGTCTGCACCACACCTGTTTCTTTCATCAAAACGGTAAACGTCTGAGCTCTGCTTGACTTCACACTTTCCTTCTACATTACTCTAACACACGTGACATAAGTGGAATGCTGCCCAAATCAGCTTTAACTCAGCTAATACCTCCACTTGTCCCTGAACCATACCTACAGTGCAGTGTGCAGTTTTCCACTCGTTACACGATACTGTCGCCAACACCTGATAGCCGTCTTTGGCCTTTGCTATGTTATCTATGCAGTGCGTTGTAGTTATTTGTGGTTTAACTCTCTGAAGTAGCCTGTATATGGTTGTGTTTACAATCATGTCGTGCATAGTGTAATTCTAGAGGGTATAAAACCAGCAGTCATACACTGGCAATTTGTCTTTGTAGACATACGCAAACCTAACACTTGAAGGATTTTGGTTTAAAAATGGTTCTGAATTGTAGACTTATTAAATCTTTTCGTGATGTTGAGAAACACTGTCTGTATAGAAAGCAGTACATACTTCTGTTTGTCTGTCCAGCATTTAAATACAATCCAACCAAAAGAGCTTTCCTGTATTATGACATAGGGGTTTAGTTATGACCCCGAGTATTCATTGTTCGGGGTTTATCGAGCACCTGTTTGACCTGAAGGGGCACTGCATGTAATATAATCCCAGAGTTTTGATCGTTGCTGGTGGTATATGACCTAGTACATTGGTTCACCTGCTTCAGATTCGAGGGCGTATTATCAGCCATGATACGCCCTTCTGTGGACCTGTTTATAGGTCTGTCCCGTTTTACTCACTAACACAATGCTCAGGTACAGGCAACTTTATTTCGACTTCTATCCTAATGTAAATAGTTACATGCATGAATTCACAAAAGTTGCGTCCCGTAAAGATCCGGGTTAGCATTTGTCTCCAGCAACACATGCATGTCGAAAGAGGTTGCTAACGCAATTGGGTGGCTAGGGTTGTTCGGTGAACTTTATCGTAACGCAATGCCTGGGGTCAATCACTGGATTGTCTGATCCAGACGACGTTATTTAAAGACCATCTTCATATAGCCTGGGCGTCATTAGACATCAGAAAAACAAATAATCAGACACTCGTATACTAAAAACATCAGATAACATATGGTGTGTAAAGTACTATTTCGTAGAAGGCTGCATCTCATTAAGAGACTATTACTTTGTTTTGTTGCTCAAACAACAATACTTTGTTATAAGAGACTCTTATCTTTTGCCAGGTAAATACTCATACGACGCTTGATGTTAATGTTCTGTTTACATGGCGTATGACCTTGAGCTGTTGTAAAGCCAACACAGAGGCCGTGTCTATAGCTACAGGTACATTCAGGGGCTTGGCTAGTGGGAGCAAGGATACCTGTGTGTCACAGTACTCGGAGCAGAGGTGGCCCTATGTAACTACTCACACAAACTAATTATTCCACTCCAGCGTGCTAAACAATGACAGATTCAGAACAGGTACCTCTTCCCTAATGCATTCTTGTTTTGTCACTGTAAAAATGGCAGGACTGGTTTAATTGTTGAATGTGAGTGTTTATGTCAATGTCAGACCGCCTCCATGATCCAGTGGGTAGATCATCTGCCCGGAGAGTGGAAGGTTGGGTTCGATCCATGGCCGCGTCAGACTAAAAGATCAGGCAATGAAATGACAAATATCCTCATTTTACGTATTTTTGTTTGACCCTTGACCTTCCGAGGTCTTGTTATGATTCAACCCAAATTCATAAACATTGATGCCATAAATAATAAACTAAGAAAATAAAATTTAATGATGGTGTGTGGTAACCTTATTTGTGACTTCCATCTGGACCTAAGTTTAATAAATATTTAAATTTTGCAACCAAGTAGGTGAATAAGGCTTCTGAAAAATTGTAAAAGCTTTCACTCACCACTCGGGAATATTGTTTTCAAATGTATTCCTACTTCGTAACAAACATATCAATATAAACTGACTGGAAGATAAAAAATGAAAGAAGCAGTTTCGACACACATACTGATATGTGTGGCAGCCAATAAATATGCTACCGTGGACGAGACATATTAACGACTGATATTATGTCAAACGTCCTTTGCAACCGTCGTCACATGGCCCGTAGTTAACCAATCACTCCAAATTACCTCGGATTCATACATACCTTGTCAAGCGTAATATCAGTATTCAAACTATTCATACCAAGAATATAGATTACCATCACTGATCTTTGATAAAGACCGTGGCAGTTCCTTTACGAGGGGTTGTTTTAAAGAATAGGTTTATAAGATAATTCTTTTGATAGATGAATTTCTCATTCATTAGCGCGGGCTTACGTAGGTCATAGTCATTGGCACATAGCGCTGAAACTAAATCTGTTATTCGTTTCTTTATCAAAGCTGAAACATTATCAGTGTATGTTGGTTTATACTGCATCATGGCTGTGTAAATGTTATATGGGAGAAGAGCCTGTTGGAGAACCCATAACATATTGGTTTTCAGCAGCAGTGTGTGGTTATTTACAAGCTTAACAGACTTGGTCCTTAGAGATGTTTCATTATGGGACAGTTTCTGGAAGGTTGACTGTGCCTACAGGATACAAAGGTGAGAAGAGATCGACTCGACCTTTCCTACTTGACGTATGGCTCACCAAGGTACATACTGATCTGATCAACCAGCTAATCTCTGTACGACCGGGAGGCAATAGTAAGCGTCATAATTAACTGTTTCTTTGGTAATTTCCCCTCTTTGTCATGTAAACAGTCAGTTCTGAAGGTATCTCCCCCCCATGATAGTTTCTTGCTCCCTCCCTCCCCAACAAGTTCGTTTTTTGTTCGAATCTAGGTTGGGTATGATAAAGACACCTTTAAGGAAGGTGAATCATCGGAACTGAGCATCATGGGGACAGTGTGGGGGACACTCAGGCGATCAATATTGGCGTATCTAAACTCTTCCATAATGGTGGCCTGTTCGTTGGGAAGGTTCGTCTAGTCTTTCATGGACGGCCGTCTACTCTGATCTACGTTTTCCCCAGATTTCTTGGCAGCACTTCTCTTGTACACCCGGGTAGATCAGCATTCAGCGTATTGTGGTGGCATTGAGGCATTCTCAAATTTCGTGCATATTTCATTTAGGTAAAAATAGTAAGTTTTGTTTGCTTGCTTTACCATGAAATGTTGTTGACTACGGTCATAGTATTCTGACATATCACATACTTTAGAACATTTTTATAGACTGAACACAGAACAGCCTTGCAATTATGTTTTAAATTTCATCACGAAATAAAGATTAAAAAGAATGTTTGCTATGTAACAAGATTATGACAACCATGTGATACTACACTGTGAAAACTTATGACCTCTCCGAAATAACTTTATCTCATCTTTGATTGATCTACTTGATGTTGAAACCTATGTCATTTTTTAAATGTTGGAAGATCGACGAAATGTTGTCAACTCTCCAAGGTGCAGATACAAAGTTCACACGATCCCTAGTGCGGGACACATACCATGTTGTCATTATAACTAAATTTGCAAAATATGTCAATCATTTGAAACCACATGTTGAGTTTGTATTTTAATGGAGACACTCTGTGTACAAGTGATGCCATCCCCTCTGTGAATGTTTGATTATATTTCTGTACATATCAATTGTCAACTATCAATGACATTGTCCTGTGAGTCAATACTAATGTGTTTTATGTTTGATGAACTCATGTATCAATAATCTTCGGATTAAAGAATCTCTCTCTCTACAAATTCCAGACATAAACAGATAGATAAATTTGAATTAAATAAGGAAAATGATAATGCTATGGCATGGTCATTGACATTAATTGTAACTGTAGTGACACAATAACGGTAGCAATATTTTTAGTAATAGCCAGTTTTATATGTTTACTTTAAAATATAATTTTTAATGAAATTAGATATTTCAGAATGTTTGAAGAATATGTAATGGGCAAAAGATTTACTTATATATGTCCCTGTCATGTAAAAAACAGGTAAAAGACGGCATGTTACGGCAGTGACATTGTAATGGTATATAATGTCACCACCGTAATGGCCCATCACAGCCGTGTTCTTCTTTGTCATAGCCGTTACTCGACCCTGTCCTTACCGTAACAAAAAAATCATACTTATATGCTTATTGATTTTATTCATTTGATACAATTTTTTTAATGTTAAATAAGATTCCCAAAACATTTGATATCTTTGATTTAAACATTTAGATACAAACAAAAAATCACGATGTTGGAAAACTCATAGAATCTAGGTTGTTTAACTCCGCATTCAGCGATATTAGTAAATGGTCGAGCCTGCACCAGACAATCCAGTGATCAACATCACGCAATTGGGAGACGATGATCACCCGATCCTGTTAGTCGCCTCTTACGACAAGCATGTGTTACTGAAGACCAATTCTAACACGGATCTTCACGGCTACATAGGCATTGTGTACTTTTTAACATTGTGATGATCCAAACAATATTAGTTTCGGGGGATAATGTTTAGTTTGAATTCCTTTGGCGAATATGATAAACCCAGTGTTCCTTCCATTGGAGGCTTTTCCCCGTTCACTGGGACGAACTTGAATCTCTGAATCATGGTGGTGAGGAAGAGGAAGAGCTCCATCCGGGCCATTGACTCCCCCGGGCAAACCCTTCGTCCTTGAAATATGAAAAACAAAGGTACAGTGTCATTACTGTATGTATGTATGTATGTATGTATGTATGTATGTATGTATGTATGTATGTATGTATGTATGTGTGTGTGTGTGTGTGTGTGTGTGTGTGTGTGTGTATGTGCGTGTGTGCGTGTGTGCATGTATGTATGTACATCTGTGTGCGTGCGTGTGGGTTTGCGTGCGTGTATGTGTATGTGTATGTACGCATGTGGTTACAGATCTATTGCTTACCATATCTCGAGTTTGTAGGTGACTCACCCAAAGAAAAGGGGATAAATTCCTCCCTCTTCTGAATCTTGCCTGCGTCATCGAGGAAACGGTCCGGCCGAAAGTTTTGCGGGTCTCCCCATACATCCTTGTCTTGGAGGACTGAATCAAGGTTCAACATGACTGTGACGCCTTTCGGGAAGGTGAATCCCCTGAACTGTACATCATGTGGAACTGAGTGAGGGAGATTAGTAGGGAAAATGTCAGCGTATCTTAAGGTTTCCAAGATGGTGGCCTCCACGTAAGGAAGGTTCGTCTTGTCCTTCATGGATGGTCGTCTGCTCTGACCAACGTTTTCCAGAATCTCTTGGAAGCACTTTTCTTGCACATCCGGGTAGTTCAGGAAGTAGACCAGCGCCCAGCGTATAGTGGTGGACGTCGTCTCCGTGCCTCCAGTGAACAGATCATTAATAATCTGCGCCAGATTCTCCACTGCCAACACGAATGTAATCTTTAGTGTAAGTTCACGTGACAGATGTAACATGACCCATATAAAACCGGAAACATTACAATTACATGCCTACGAAATACTAGTTGAAATGTGGAAATGCATTAACAGAATCAGGCATGTATATAGTTCAGTGTAGATTCAGTGTAGATTCTAAAGGAAAGTTCAGCGTCCTCAGTCTGTCAATTTAAGAGATGTTCACAGAACCAACTATACGTTTTGACAAATATAATTCTTAAGTAAAAACGAAAAACCAAATCAAAGTCATGCCTAATTAACATGAGTAAAACAATATGGATTATTGAATGCAATAGCTACATATCTACACAATTCATTACATCCTTAGCAGAAATGATGTGCCAGTTATAAGTATTAAATTCTTTACATTCAACCTATTGGACAAATCTAGAAAAAAACCTTTAAAAGTAAATAGCCAACGAATCTCCTTGTCGTGTAAAGGATAATGTACATTCCATGAACATCTTTAAATAACAAAACACACTTACAGTCTAACGTAGTTGTTTCTTGTTTCTGTTGGCGACGTCGCATCTCCTTAAAGTATACATGGATGAAATCGTCCCGATTTTCATAATCGTGATCGTTTAAGTGATCCTTAATGAAAGGTTTAATCAGTAGATTATCCACAATATCTATGCTGTCCATTGTTTTTGTGAACTTGAATGGGTCTCCAGGCAAATATCGCACAGCAGGAAAAACGTTTAGTATTCCAGACAATGCGCTATTTTTAAAAAAAACATCCAATGCTTTCAGAAATTTGACGAAGACATGGTCGGTATATTCAAAACGTTTGCCAAAGACAACGGAACAGATGACATTTGATACGGCATTCTGCACAAGACGCTCTATGTTGAAACCCCGGCCTTTCTCTTCCTCCAGGGCAACCATAAACTGAGCAATTTCCTCGTGTATTTTGTCCTCCATGATGTTTTTTCCCATTCCAAACTCTCGCAGAGCATTGAGAGCAAATCGTCTCTGTTCATGCCACAAGTCCCCGGAGGTTCCGACTACTCCTGTTTGGAAAAATACAGGTCAATAGAATTCAGCTGTATTTCGTGGAATAAATCTTGCAGTGTTTGTAGACATTGTAGAACAGTGTTGTGTTTGTATCACGTTGTTTCTGTTAAGACTCAGTTTAGGACGGTGGTGACCTGGGTGCCGTTCTACAAAGCGGTCTTAGCGCTAAGGTGACCGTAACTCCCATTACCTTAACATAGACTTACGGCTAGCGTAGCGCTATGGTTGCTTTGTACAACGGCACCCTGGTTAATCTATTAAGACTGGGAGACAATACTAGCGTGAAGGTTCTGGGCCTACACTGGGACGTGCAAGTGCTGGCTGAAGAATTGGAGCAATCATTTTATGTACACAAAGCGGGTCTAAATCTGGTCCTGGTCACCTCAAATATGACGTCACATATGACGTCTCACGGTTCGAGACCAGCAGATGTGTGGCGTTCGTTTTTCACCCTGGATACTCAGACTTGGCCTATTTTGAAAGCTTCAGCACTATTGCAGCGATGTGTATCTTAGCATCACTATCTTTGTTGCTACAATCACTGCTAATACATTAAAGTTATATTGAATTTGCATTGCCACGCTGTTTTATACCGTCATTGTAATTAGTTCATTTTAGAAAACAATTCTTAATTTTATCACATTTTTGTTATTTCACGCTATATTCTTTGTATGTATGCATTGCCATAGGTCAGTTGTATAGTGCCACCAGGTTATGGCACGGGTCAGCTGTATAGTGCCGCCAAGGTATGCCATGGGTCAGCTGTATAGTGGCACCAAGGTATGACATGGGTGAGCAGTATAGTGCTGTCAAGGAATGCCACGGGTCAGCTGTATAGTGCAGCCAAGTTATGACATGGGTCAGCTGTTTAGTGCAGCCAAGGTATGACATGGGTCAGCTGTATAGTGCTGCCAAGGTATGACATGGGTCAGCTGTATAGTGCAGCCAAGGTATGACATGGGTCAGCTGTATAGTGCAGCCAAGGTATGACATGGGTCAGCTGTGTAGTGCAGCCAAGGTATGACATGGGTCAGCTGTATAGTGCTGCTAAGGAATGACATGGGTCAGCCGTATAGTGCTGCCAAGGTATGACATGGGTCAGCTGTATAGTGCTGCTAAGGAATGACATGGGTGAGCCGTATAGTTCAGCCAAGGTATGACATGGGTTATCTGTATAGTGGGGCAGGTGTTAATTCTATACACGTGAGAAACATCTTCGATAGTATGGAAATGCATAAAGGTAACAACGGGTGTAAACATGAATGGAAACATTTTTTCGAGAGTTATTTACAGTCGCACTAAAGTATATTTACAAAATAAAAGAGTTATGTCCAGAACCTTCCTTGTCTGTCCATGCGTATCACTAGGATAACTGATGCTAGATGTTAAACACTCTGTTTTGTCCTTTCTTGTGCCCTCTTTAAGCTTACTGCATGGACTTCGGCTTTCCCAATCCCCCACATCGTGTCAAAAGTGAATGCACATTATTTGTGTTCGTGTACACACAAATGTTCACTTTCATCAACGATTATGGACAATGCCGTACAAAAAGCTAAATGACACAGCCAAACACATTCTGCTTGCAATGTTCTTGATTTGACGATACTTCCGGCAATGGTAGTTATTGGCACATTTAACGTCTTCAATGTGGATATCGTGGCTGCCATGTTATAAATGGGATCAGGAGTGTGGTTCAATGGTTAGTATCACTATAAAAACACCTTCAGTTTGGCTAAAATATAAAGAAAACGTACCTTTTCCCTTTGAGAAGAAATCGGTAAAAAAGGATCGCGGTCTGTCGGAGAAGACGTCGGCGTTCTTCACTATGGCTTCTTTAATAACGTTGTAGCCGTTGAGGACGATGAGAGGCTTGTGGAAAACATACAGACTGAAAATGTCGCCATACTTCTGTCGGAGGTTCTTGTACAAGACCCGGGGATCAGAGTCCATGGACAGGGCGTTCCCCACGAACGGAAGGAGAGGGGGGCCTCGGGGCAGTCCAGGTGGGCGCCGCGTTGACAGCCATAACACTACCAGTACCACGACCAGAAATAAGGCAACTGTTGTAACTCCGAAATCCCACATCGTCGTCCGCTAGGTTCCAGGCTGTCTAAAACCTGACACGAGAGAGCGAGACTGAGTATAGCTGCGAAGTGGTACATTCACACAACTGACTGATTTATAACACTGCCGGTTATCAATGTTTTCAGAGTGAGTCAGCCAAAACAGGTGCATGTCATGCACATGTCTTGTACATGTGTGGAGTGGCCAAGGACTGTCTCCCAGACCCTGGAGAATAAAGTATATGAGAGTAATATATTGCCCCAGCTCCAGAAATTAAGCATAGGCACAACACACCGTCAGTATACGTATTTGCCTTCCAACCAAACGAAGGTCAATATTCAAATTATGGATGTTTGCGCACGTTTCATAAAGTAGGCCAAATAGTGATTTCCAGAAGCCTTGAACTTGTTTACACTCCCAAAATAACTGGGTTGTCATTTCAACCTTTACAGCTCTCTAAAGTAGTTTTTATATAAGAATGAGTTTGTTGGAAAACATCCTGTGAATAATTCTTAATTGGAGCCATCTCAATTATGTATCTGAGGTTTTCTTAAGTGGTTTTATACTCTGATTCTGCCAAAATACATGCGTCCATTTATGTGTAAATTCAAGGTGGGTGTCACATGCATTCAAAATAAAATAAAAACACTTTGCTCTGCTAGCTATTTGTTGACAACAGCCTGGGTTACTGTGTACAGGTTGTTTAACTGTGTTTCTGCACACACTTTGTCCAATAGATGTTCCATATACTGATAACAGTATGAGGTGGGGCATTTTATTGGTCGTTTAGGAGTCATTAGACAAAGTGTGTGTAACAACTGCCTATCTGCATACGGTAATAGGGTACAAATATATATGAATCCACAGTTTCTCGTTTACAGTTGATATCATTACTGTGCTGTTCATGTTTTCAATGTGTGAACAATATGCTTTGAAATTGTTTCTGTTATAGTATCATAATCAGATGTGACCAAGTCGTCAAAGTTGCCGCAATTCGCTGTGTAGAGTTGCGTCCCTTGAGCACCAGAAACCAATGATTGTTGTTTGGAATCCTGGTTTGCCACAAGTTCGTTTCTAGGTTTGTCTGCACCACACCTGTTTCTTTCACCAAAAAAGGTAAACGTCTGAGCTGTGTTCGACTTCACACTTTCCTTCTACATTAATCTAACACAAGTGATGTAAGTGGAATGCTGCCCAAATCAGCTTTAACTCAGCTAATACCTCCATTTGTCCCTGAACCTTAGCGGGGCAGTTGGGTAGCCTAGTGGTTAAAGCGTCCGCTCGTCACGCCGAAGACCCGTGTTCAAATCCTCACATGGGTACAATGTGTGAAGCCCATTTGATGTGTCCCCCGCCGTGATATTGTGGGAATATTGATAAAAGCGGCGTAAAACCATACTCACTCACTATCCCTGAACGCTTGCCTGCAGGGCAGTGTGCAGTTTTACACATGCTATACACTCTACAAGACCCTGTCGTCAACGCCTGGTAGCTGGCTTTGTTCCTTACCTTACGCTCAAACGTACTTAAACTTTCTGATGTGTCGCGACAAGGTAAGGGTGTGACTTCAGGAATGAAATACCCACATTTATATTCAAATTCATCAAACATATCCACGTAAAACTGGTCTTAATGTTATTTATGCGATATATAGTAGCAATTCTTCAAATGGATTAACTTTTCTGAAGTAGCCTTATGTTGATTGTATTTACATGACATAGTAAAATCTTTGAGGTTCATGGTGTTTTTGAGAAACATTGTCCTTGCAAAGAACTCGGCACTCGCAGCACATAGTTATGCTGGTCTGAACCAAAAACATCTAAAAGTGTAATTTAAACACCTCTCCCATATTGCGACACAGCGGATATCTTTTATTACTTTAGTAGTATTTATTGTTTAGAATTTATCGGGCACCTGTCTGGCGTGAATGAGGTACTGTCAAGTCTATTTGGACTTGTTTCTAATATGATTTATTCCATGCAGGAAGTCACGAAAGACGCCTCTCCAGCAACAAATGCTTCTTGTAAGAGGCTGGTAAACTGCATTGTTGTTCCCTCTATGCGTAGATCATTGCTCATGATGTCAATCACTGGGTTATCTTATTTAAAGACCATTATTATATTGCTAGAATATTACAGAGCACCTCGCTAGACTTCAAACATACAAAAACAACAAAGTCCTATTTCTCAGAAGCTTACAATCTCATTAAGAGACCGTTACTTGCTTGTCGTAAGAGGCAACTGACGGGATCCTGGTCAGGCTCCCTGGCTTGGTTGAGTGCGGCGTAAAACTAAACTCACTCATTCACTCAGATACCGCTACTTAATATTGTTGCACAAACAACGTGCATTCTCCATTACACTATTGTAAGAGACTTTTATCTTTTTTCAGGTAAATACTGATAAGACGTTTCACGCCAATGTTTTATTTACATGCAGTGTGACTTTGAACTGTTGAAAAGTCAACAAAGAGGTCGTGTGTATAGCTGCAGTCAACTTGTGCATACGTGGGCTTGGCTAGTGGGAGCATAGACACCTGTGTGTTATAAAACTCGGCACAGAGATAGGTCAAGGTGACATTATGAAACTACTCACACAAACTTACAGACAACCAATAGCGACCATTGCAGCATGTATGCATTACTCCATGCACGCGAGGCGACGGTTATTCCACTCTAATACTCTGAACTATAACAGATTCAGAAGGAGGGGCCTTATTGTAGGGACCTGTTATTGAAATCTTGCTTCGATTTTATGTGTGAATAAATTGAGTTTTCAGAAAGGCTATATTGAATGATTATCGTACTACATGTACGTGTTGCGGGGCAGAACAACCATTGTGAGAGCTGACGGCGATTGTCGTCACCTTTTGTAAAGCAATCCATTATTTATCGCGGTTGCTGATTAAGATTTAATCACATGTTTCACATACATAGCTGTATTGTGGATGGAAAAGTGTGAAATATCGGTCCGAACAGCGACTAATAATTGTATTGCTTTTTGGAAGACAGTACCTCTGCCATGTTATTGATCGTGTGCGGTCTATCTTTCGAGTTTTTTCCTAAACGCAGAATTTGTGCCAAATGGTAAGCAAATCAAATAAGAAATTGCCGTTCCATTGAAACCCATTCTGACCTTTGAAGAGTCATTCAGCAGAGTCATCATTGATCATGTTGGTCCTTTACCTACCACTAGGACTCATGGCCAGAATACTCTACCACGGTTATTCCACGGGGTTAAAAGGACTTTATGACTTCAGTTAACACGGGAAGTAACTGCATATGAGTCCAAAGAATGGCGAAACTTGTTCCAGTGGAACTGGTAAATGAATAACGCATTAAAACGAGGATATATGGAATTCTGGAAGGGACATTGTCGCGTTGTCGCCCTCAAATACAAGCAAAATGAGGCAAAATTAACCAAAGCGCGACAATGCGGCAACGCGACATTTTGGCCATTTGTCGCATTGTCGCGATGTCGCATGTCCCGTTTTGAATAATATTTCTCTATTCCTCCAAAGAGCGACAATGCGACATAGCGACAATTTTCAAGGGCAAAATATGTCTCATTGTCGCCCTATCTAAGATGTGTAAAAAAACGCCTAAACATTGACTAAAACGCGACAATGCGACTCAATCATAATAATGTTCAGCAAAATGGCCAGTTTGAATACATCCATTCCATTAACCAAGGACTCTTAACCCACAGACTTCACGGCCACATGTACGTTCATTTCTTATTGCTCTGAGTTCGATCCCTGGGTATCTTAGCCCTTTTAAAACATCGAAACATAATGATCCATGTGATAGTTTTTAAATTCCGCCATAACTAATAAAACGCGACACGCGACAATGCGACAACGCGACATTTTGATGAAAAGTCGCATTGTCGCGAGTCGCGCTTTGTTAAAATATTGAGTATAACTTATGTATTATAACGTATTGACTAAAACGCGAGACGCAACAATGCAACAACGCACATTTCATCAAAATGTCGCGTTGTCGCATTGTCGCGTGTCGCGCTTTGTTGAAATATTCAGTATAGTATGCATTATAACGTATTGACTAAAACGCGACAATGCGACAACGCGATATTTTGATTAAATGTCGCGTTGACGCATTGGCACGTCTCGCGTTTTAGTCAATTTTTAGCCTTTTTTTACACATCTTAGATAGGGCAACAAAAATTGTCGCTATGTTGCATTGTCGCTGTTTGGAGGAATAGAAAATTATTATTCAAAACGCGACATGCGACATCCACTCCACTCCACTTTTTATGAATGTCGCGTTGTCGCATTATCGCGGGTCGCGTTTTAGTCAATACCTTATAACACATACTATACTCAATATTTTAACAAAGCGCGACACGCGACAATGCGACAATGCGACATTCCATAAAAAGTGGACTGGAGTGGAGTGCGTGAGTGAGTGAGTGAGTGAGGGAGGGTTGGTTTCTGGCACTCCAAGGGTACGCAACTCTGCCAAGCGATTTCACCGTTTTTAATATCAATGACATAATGATAACAGTCCATTTGTATGGCGTTTTCCCAAGAAGAATATCACGTTCAAAGCCGACCTAAACCCCACTCAGACAAGTTATACTGACTCCGAGCCGACGAGTCCTTGTTGTACCCATTAATGCCGAGCGCCTGGCAGGGACCAACAAGTTCCATTATATTTTAACGTCTTTTGGTATGACGCGGCCGGAGATCGAACCCGCGACCTTATGCTCTCCGGGCGGACACTCTAACCACAACACCAAGGTGGCGGTCGGACTTAAAACTATGTCACGTTTTTATGTAACTCACCCAACGAAAAGGGGATAAATTCCTCCCTCTTCTGAATCTTGCCTGCGTCATCGAGGAAACGGTCCGGTCGAAAGTTTTGCGGGTCTCCCCATACATCCGTGTCTTGGAGGACTGAATCAAGGTTCAATATAACTGTGACGCCTTGTGGGAAGGTGTATCCTCTGAACTGTACATCTTGTGCAACTGAGTGAGGGACAGCAATAGGAGCAATATCAGCGTATCTTAAGGTTTCCAAGATGGTGGCCTCCACGTAAGGAAGGTTCGTCCTGTCCTTCATGGAGGGTCGTCTGCTCTGACCCACGTTTTCCAGAATCTCCTGGAAGCACCTGTCTTGTACATCCGGGTAGTTCAGGAAGTAGACCAGCGCCCAGCGTATTGTGGTGGACGTCGTCTCCGAAGCCCCCAACGAACAGATCAGCAATAGTCTCAGCCAGGTTCTCCACTGCCAACATGAATGTAAACTTTAGTGTTATTATATCATTATATTATATCATTATTGATATCTAAATACGCACTCATAAATCGGAAGAATTTGGCTTAAATAATATTTGTTATGCTATGATACTACTACTACAATATTGACCCAACCCTACACGAGTCACAGTATTTATGTGACCAGAAATGTGACATTTCGTGCTCCCAGGAGCTAATACACAACACAATATCAACAGCATTTACAATATTAATGGACGCAATTAAAACGTTTTGTTTTCCAAAAGCGTACCTAAAAGCGTTGCAAGTAAATATCAAACGAAACTCAGTTATGGTAATACATTATGGACATCCCACAAACATAGATTGTCAAGATGAAACATACAGTCTAACGTCGTTGTTTCTTGTTTCTGTTGGCGACGTCGCATCTCCTTCAAGTACACATGGATGAAATCGTCTCTGTTTTCCTCATCGAGTTGGTGTAAGTGATCCTTAACTAAAGGATTAATCAGTAGATTATCCACAATATCTACCTTGCCCATTGTTTTCTTGAACTTGAACGGGTCTCCAGGCAAAAATCGCACAACAGGAAAAACCTTCAATAATCCCGATGTTGTGCTACTCTGAAAAGTGTCATCCAAAGATTCCAGAAATTTGACGAATAGAGGGTCGGTATATTCAAAACGTTTGCCAAAGACAATGGAACAGATGACATTTGATACGGCATTCTGCACAAGACGTTGTATATTGAAACCATTTCCTTTCTGTTCCTCAAGGGCTAATACAAACTGTGCAATTTCCTCGTGTATTTTTTCCTCCGTGATGGTTCTTCCCGCTCCAAACTCTCGGCAGAGCATTGAGAGCAAATCGTCTCTGTTCATGCCACAAGTCCCCGGAGGTTCCGACTACTCCTGTATGAAAAATACAATTAAGTAGAATCAGGGATATGGCGTTATGTGTCATTATTTGCAGACATTGTAGAACTGTGTTGTATTTGTACCACGTTATTTCTGTTCAGACTCAGCTGAGGGCGGTGGTGACCTGGTTACTATATTAAGCTTGTGAGACAAGACTCGCGTGGAATGTTCCAGGCCTATTCTGGAATAGTGTGACCAAAGTGTTTGTGAAAGTTTTTATGCATATAAAGCAGGACGAAAATCTTGTCTTGGTAACCTCACATGGCATCTGACGTTTCATGGAGGCCAGCAGTTGTGTGACGAACTCTTTCCACCCTGGATACTCAACTTTACCAAAAGTGTAGGGAGGTGAGTACTATCATCACTATCACTATACCCTATTCTGCTAAAGGTAGAATCAATTACAGGATTCCGACTATATCATGATCATGATATATGTATAACGCTGCCAAGAATTGACATTGGTCAGCTGTATAGTGCTGCCAAGGTATGACATCGGTTAGTTCTATAGTGCTGCCATGGTATGATATGGGTCAGCTGTATAGTGCTGCCAATGGATGACATCGGTCAGTTGTATAGTGCTGCCATGGTATGATATGGGTCAGCTGTACAGTGCTGCCAAGGTATGATATGGGTCAGTTGTATAGTGCTGCCAATGGATGACATCGGTCAGCTGTGTGGTGCTGAAAATGTTATGTCATGGGTCAGCTGTACAGTGTGCCAAGGTATGCCATGGGTGAGCTGTACCGTGCTGCCGAGGTATGCCATGGGTAAGCTGTATAGTGTTGTCAAAGTATGACATGGACCAGCTGTATAGTGTTGTCAAGGTATGACATGGACCAGCTGTATAGTGTTGTCAAGGTATGACATGGACCAGCTGTATAATGCTGTCAAGGTATGACGTGGGCCAGCTGTATAGTGCTGTCAAGGTATGACGTTGGCCAGCTGAATGGTGCTGCCACAGTTTGCATGTTCTGCACGTGCATAATATGAAAATCCAGAACGGTAACAATACATGTAGATGTAAACAAATGCAAACAATACTTCGAGTGTTAAGCTTATTTATTGAAGGAAGAGTGTCTTGTCTGTTCTACAATCTTGTATCACTAACTGATGCCAGATATTACACATTTCTGTAATGATAGTTATTAACACAATTAACGTTTCCCAAACTTCTGTTGTGCTTGCCATGTATCAAATCGAATCTGGAGTGTGATTCAATGTTTAGAATCACTATTAAAACACCTTGAAACGTACCTTTTCCCTTTAATATGAAATCAGTCAAAAAAGAGTGCGGTCTGTCGGAGAAGACGTCGGCGTTCTTCACTATGGCTTCTTTAATAACGTTGTAGCCGTTGAGGACGATGAGAGGCTTGTGGAAAACATACAGACTGAAAATGTCGCCACTTCTGTCGGAGGTTCTTGAACAAGACCCGGGGATCAGCGTCCATGGACAGGGCGTTCCCCACGAACGGAAGGAGAGGGGGTCCGGGGGGAAGACCAGATGGGCGCCGCGTTGAATAGCCATAACACTACCAGTACCACGACCAGAAATAAGGCAACTGTTGTAACTCCAAAATCCCACATCGTTGTACGCTAGTTTCAAGCCTGTCTCAAACCTGACAGGAGAGAGCGAGACTGAGTACATTCACACTACACACTCAATAAAACGGCGCCTGTTTATCTATCATTACAGGGTGATTGGATATGGGTATGCCCATATATATGTGTATATATATACATTTGCTTGTGGAGGTAGTTTATTTTCCATTCACTGGCACGAACTGGAACCTCTGGTGGTGGTGTTGAGGAAGAAAAAGAGTTCTTTGTTTTTAATTATCAGCATAAAACATCCCCCAAAAGCTGCAGACAACGGTACGAAATCAGTGACACCGTTCAGCGCAAAATGAAACACAAGCCCCGCCCATTAAGGGTGAGTATCGTGTGCACTCAAGATGAATAATGACACTTTACACCTTTCTTAACTGATAGCTGTTTCTTTGACAACAGCCTGGATTAACTTTGTCCGCTTTGTCCACTGGATGACCCATATATTGATAGTACGGGACGGGTCCTTTAATAGGTCGCTTAGGAGTCATTAGACAAAGCGTATGTAACAACTGCTGTTTTTAGTTTGAGGTGAGGTAAAATTGAGTTTAACGTCGTGCTTGAGAATATTTCGCTCATATGACGACGTGCATGCGTGTGTATGTGTATCTGCGGCTGCTTGTACTAGCCCAGTACTGGTTTTATAGTGCTAGCCTACTGAGAAACCATGCCGCAGTGAAGCATGAATACCCCACTCAGACACATTATACTGACTCCGAGCCGACCAGCCCTTGATGTACCCATTAATGCCGAGCGCCAGGCAGGGACCAACAAGTACCATATTTTAACGTATTTTGGTATGACGCGGTCGGGGATCGAACCCGGGACCTTCCGCTCTCCGGGCGGACGCTCTAACCACTACACCACGGAGGCGGTCGTCTTTACTTTGATGCAGATAACACATCTGTATTACACAATCAGTAACTGGGTACAGGCATGAATCCCGAGTTTCTCACTTACAGTTGATATAAATCGATGTGACTGTTATTATTCGATTATTCCACTCTACCAGATTGAATTGATTCATAAGTTTTGATGTATATACTAGTATGTTATAAATTGGCAGTGCTTATAAATAACTATGATCGTTAGCAGCTATACGGGGTTGACGTAACGTAAATAATTGTCCCCCGAAGAGTTAGAGAGTAAGTAAGGCACCATTTGAAGTATTTATATGCATGTCACAATTTTAAATTCAGCATATTGAGGTATCATTGTGTTTGATGACAAAGTCATGTTTAATGTTAATGTTGGTTTGACTTCCTAACTTATAGCCAGTTTACGCTGGCTGTGTCCAATTCCCCCTTAATCCCCTACTGTCTTACATGTCACCACGCTCAGGTGAATCTGCATCTGTAACAGAAGATGATAGACGGGTAGGAAGAATTCTAAATAAACAACTCGGTAATCTGGGTGCCCATCCGAGTAAGTGTTGTAGACAGGTTGAAATAGTCCCAAATGACGTCATCATCGAACACCTGGCTGACCTTATTTCACAGGGGGCAATGACCGCGCACCCAGTGGGAAAACGGGTCCGGCATGACATCATAGCATCACACCATGACATCATGCCGTTATTTTGGACCAATCAGCATAGAGCAACCATTGAACTCACTCTGGTGTGACTCAGGCTGACTGGGGGGGTCAATGACCGCGTACCCCGTTGGAAACGGATGACACATCCAGCGTGACATCATAGCATCACACCATGACATCACGCCATTATTTTGGACCAATCAGCGTAGAACAACTATCGAACTGACTTGACCACTGCTGTGGAACTGGGGAACTGCTGTGACAGGGGGAGAGAAGCTTCTGTCGCCAGTTGGCATGGAGATTTCTCGCGAGTGTAAACAACCTATGTTAATATGATGATCAACCCATGAATTACTCCCTACTCTCAAACTTAATAGTATGATTTTGTATTGAATGAATGCATCATGATAAGCCAATAAATCCATCATGATAAAAACATCCATAAATAAAATGCTACATGCTCGTTAGAATCAACACTAGCTAGGGCGTGTCAGCTTTGACTGTAGAAATGTGCGTTCTCGTCATGGAGATTGTACATCATATTTAGGAATGCAACTTTCATGGAATTCATCTAAAATTCCATCACGAATGGGGTGTAATTGTATAGTGTTAGCATGAAAGAGTAATGTTTGAATGACAACGCATATGTGTATATTATTATTATATGGGTACTTATATAACGCTATAGTCCATCCCGCATGCATGCTCAAGGCGCTGGTAAATTTTCCCTTGGATGTCAATCTCAGTCATATTACCATTCTCAACTCCCCGGGGAGCATCTTGCTGCCACTAGGCGCACCAAGTTAATTTGGTTTTCCCATCCTAACGAGGTATACATGACAAAAAACAAGATAAACTGATTTCATATTTTTTATGAGCTCCTTTTCAAACGAGTAGACCTACGGGATAGGAGCGCTCCCAGAAGTCTACTTTACATCTGTTGTGCGAATTGTCTTATTGCCCCTCCTCATCGTCCTGTCCTTCACTCTCTTCATCAGATGTTATGTCTGCATTATCATCTTCAGTCAAGCCTTCGACCCAAGGCTTATATTGGTACAGATTGGAAAACAGGTCACGATACAGATTATTTGTGTCTCCTACTTGTTTCAGTATTCCTTGTGTCTTTGGACCATACTGCATATGGTACAGATAAGTAACAAATAGGGCATACGTCTCTATAAACGTGCTCCAGATGAATTTGTTCAGTTTGGCTTGAATCGTGTCTTCGTTTAAATCTCTTTTCATGTACAGCTGTCGTTTCTCATCCAAAAGTCTTTACTCAGCTCAAGTGTACGTGAATACATGTGTCTTATACCTTGCTCTTCGAGATCAGCCATTTTTTTTTTCCTGTTGTTTTGTGTGACATCGTTTAATGATTCATCATCATCATCATTTTCCATTTCAGGACATTGTTTATCGTGTAAATGTCTTTGCAAGTTGTGGTTATTGCTAAGTACTTGACCACAATAGTCACAATCTGACAGTGAACGTGGTGCCTTCACAGGAGAGAAGTTGTCGTCTTCCTCCCACTTCCTTTTAACTTGGGGTATTCCCGGTGGACCCACTGAAGACTTTACAGGACACCAGTTTCTTTCTTTTTGCAAATCATGCACGTCTTGAGTCCACAGTCATCACAAGATGGCATGGTTGGGAGGTTTTCTTCACACGTCTGCTCACGGTGAAAGTGTAACTCTGACTGAATGGTTCTAGCTTGGAGGTCTCCTTTTAAACTGAGTGCATTGGGACAAAGCCGCAAATGGGGAGGTGTTTGGGGTTTTAGATTAACCATCAAGTAGCCATATGATTTCTGGATAGCCCTTTGAAATGGCTCCATGAAATGGTCTGTGTTACCTGGATACATTTGCCTCGCTAAAGTCATGATGGGTTGTTGATCGATAGGGTTGTTGAACAGAAGCAGATAATGACAGTTTCTTCGTTGTGTGGGATCCTTACTGAAATGCAAATTCTGGTTCAAGGCTATCACTGAGAGATTACGATGATGACTTCCTTCCGTAAACAGATCTGTAATGTGTGGATCTTTGCTCGCTGTCGACATTAAGTCATCGAGGATAACCACATTCAGCACATGGGGGTCCAGAATGCCTTGATGAAATTCCACATAGGGATAAACATGGGTTTGAATGGTGTTATACAAGGGCTGCCATCGTTTGTAGAGCCAAATAATACGTTCAGGATAAGGTTTAATGTTCATCCGTTCTAAAAGCTGTTTCACTAAGTAGGTTTTACCACAGGAGGTGGGCCCTGAGACAATCATGGTGAATGGGTGTTTCAGTCTAAATTCTTCCAATGACTGGGTAGTACTTTCGGATGAATGTGGTTGCACTGTTGCTGCTGCTGCTGCTGTTGCTGCTGCTGCTGTTGTTGTTGCTGCTGCTGCTGCTGCTTGATATCTTCTGAATGTTTTGTTTGAATATGACGGGACAAGTCATGAGCCCAAACATATTGTTTGGAGCATACGGGACAGGGATGCATAATGATGTTCACACGTTGACAATCCTACTACAAATGACACATTTAGCCTTTTGTCTCTATTTAAAAATATGTTTTCATTCGCTTTGTTGACACTGCTTCCATTGTGTTTTCCCTTTTGACGACACTCTCCCTTTCTCTCTTCAACTTGGCTTTAGCCTGTTGAACCACTTGTTGGGTGGGAGACGTGAGTGCAAAAGTCTCTTCAGAAGAAGGGGGTAGGTCCATCTTGACGCCTTGCTTCTCGTAATAGATCACATAATCATCCACGTCAGTAAAGGGATAGGGATATCCTTTAGCCTGCAAATAGTAATATTTCGTCCATTTCTTAGGGTCGTCCAAATAGGGTCTCCTGTTCATTTTCTTGTTCAGAATGAATACGGACTCTCACACAGAGGTTTCAGACGAAGTGTCACTATCACGGGTCCATGGCTAAATGAAGCTAAATCTCCGTTTCTGTCCTTTATATAGATGTCTGCTAGCCCTAATTCTAACTCCTACAAACATATTGTTAGCAGAGCGTGGTTTCGATCCACGGTCCTCTGGGTTATGAACCCAGTGCGCTTCCACTGTGCCACTCTGCTCTCCCTTCACCTCTCGACTTTTATACACCACATCAACCAATGACAACCAATATTGATTTATTCTCAAATAGTCACAAATACACACAGTATTGTACAATGAACATCACACTCTTACACATGTAAATCTACATGACTACCCCAGTGGACCACCCCTTTTTTTTAGGTACTCCTACCAGGGCCAAATACAGACAGTTTGGAGACCATTTTTCATGTTCGACCCAAGGATCATCCTCTACGTCCCAGTTCTTGCAAGCGTCCCCTCTGATTAAGTACACAAATCCTGCCTGGGCCATTTGACTAGGACTCTGTTTCATCTGCACAGGACAAGACTGAAAGGAATTCAGCCGTTCTTGGAACTGCGTTCGAGGTCTGAGAGGGATACTGTCCATACATAGGTACCCACCTAGATCATCATGACCATGAGGATACTCTGTCCTGTATGTCTCTAGTCCCAGCAATGTCATGGCTTGTATCTCTCCGCATTCCTCCAACGCTTTGCAGAAGAGGGTGTAAGCTTGGGGTCCTCGCCGGGGAAGGGTATCTAATAAAGCTCTGACACGGTCAAAGGAGGTTTGTGGTTTTTCGATAATCTCTGCCTTCATGAAGATGGTAAGGACTTTAAACCTCATCAGTTTGTCCACCACCTCTTCTACGTGCTTTATAGCTTGCACTAGACCGGAGCGATTCTTGCTCAGGATATCACGGTGAACTGCTTCCATCTTCAAGATAAACAGCCAACAGAGAGAGAGAGAGAGAGTTGTATAGCTGGATGTCGTCTGTGTAGTCAGTGATGCATGATCCGAAATGAAGGGGTTTATATATTTTCATTCCCAAACCGGATTAAACCAGTTGATCTATCCGTATGCCATGATGTCATTCTCTTTCGGTTGCTATGCACCTGATCTAAAAATACCCCCTGGGAAAAGTTGTTTATCCTTAGGTCAGCTCAGTACAAGGTCATTGACACCCCTGTGAAATGAGGTCAGCCAGTTGTTCGTTGATGACGTCATTTGGGACTTTTTCAACCTGTATACAACAAGTAAGGGAAATCCCCTCGATGGCGGCTTTGTGTCGTTTTGGAGACGATCAAGCCTGTCGGGTTTTTCCGTATGTTTTCCGTGATCGGGTGGTCAGGCTCGCTGACTTAGTTGACACATGTCATGGGTTCCCAATTGCGCAGATCCATGCCCATGCTGTTGATCACTGGATTGTCTGGTCCAGACTCGAGTATTTACAGACCGTCACCATATAGCTGGAATATTGCTGTATGGTGGCGTAAAACTAAACTCACTCTCTCACTTCGTCTGTTTCCATTTTCTAACAAAATCATTTGTGATCAAAACAGCCCTAAAGTGTTAAAAATTGTGAAGATGCTAAGTCTACTAAAACCATCCAAAAACAAGCAACAATCATAACCTATCGTAGTGGTGTAAATGGTGATAATGTTGTATTAAGAGTGTGCTGTAAATGAACTGGTCTTATTTATTATGTCACAGTTATTTATTCATTTGACCAAAATAAAATATTTACATACTATTTATACTGTATATTCTTATCAAAATGTATCGATTAATTTCATTTCTTTATAAAAAACAAACAAACTACTTGCGGGCATACACTAACGAGATCCTTCATGAATGAAACCTAGAAATAGACGAATTATGTCCATTCAGGTGAACGCCCTAAGTAGGTTATACTAATGTGCACATGGTGCGGGAACCAGCCTCGATCTGTCATTCCTTGTCTTTTCCAAAGGCTGAAGCGTTTATCAGTGTAAGCTGGTTAATACTAGACCATAGCTGTGTCAATGATGTAAGGGAGACAAACCTGTTGAAATACCCATAAAATGTTGGTTTTCACGGGAGTGAGTGGATATTTACAAGCATGACAGACTTGGTCGTTGGAGATGTTTCATGATGGGACAGTTTCTGGAAGGATGACTGTGCCTACTTGATACAAAAGTGACAAGGATCGAATTAAGAAGAGGTCGACTTGACCTTTCCTACGTGTGTAGTGACTATTACTTCTTTGGAAACCTAAAACTGTATATTTGAACACGATTTATTGATTATTCATTGATCTTCAGTGGTATTTTACAGATTTCATAATTTCTTTCCATGGATACCGATTCCTTGGTTTTATTTTAGGTTTGGAAAATTTGGAAATGACTGATCTTGTGCTGATCAGAACGTTTTCGCTAAGTTGCGTTTACTTGAAATGGAGTTTCAGTTAGTGTTTTCGTCAATCCCTGGTCAACCATTACTTGCTAGGTACCATGGGCTACATGTAATTGATAAAAGGATCAGTAGAGACAAACGTTATGGATAACAACTTCTTTATTTCGTGAGTGCGGTGTTTCGATACAGATTCTTATAGCGTTGTCAAAAATACATTCCTGCTTGGCAACGGTACAAGAATCTGTATCGAAACGTCGTACTCACGAAATAAATAAGTTGTTATCCATAAGATTGGTCTATATTGTACTTCCCAGTTTCTAAAATGCCACTCAGAGAGACTTTGTCATGTCAAATTGATAGACCAACCCGTATGGTTCAGGAATGACAATGTAACTACTCAGCGTGTTGCCACTTCTGTCCCTGTAAATAATTAATCCGCTTGTGATACTGATGAGAGATGTGAATGTGCACAGTTGAGGGCATTGCTGACTATGCTGGCACTAAGCTATGAAATTTAACATTTTAGCTAACTAAGATGTTAAACTGGGTTTTTGAGTAAATTCATGAGATCACTCACTTGTTTCCAAATGCACCTGGGTGTACAGTGAGGGAGTAAGTTTAGTTTTACGTCGCTTGTAGCAATATTCCAGCGATGTCATAACGGTGAACATCAGAAATGGGCTTCACGCATTATACCCATGTGGAGAATTAAACCCGAGTCTTTGGTGTGACGAGTGAATGTTTTAACCCCTAGGTTAACCTACGGCCCCCGAAGTGTGTCAAAATGTAGATGTAGGTAGTGCTGTACACGAAGAAGGAGATTCAATATATGTTGGACAATGACATTATTGAACCAAGTCAAAGATGCTGGAGTTCACGTTCTGTCGAAACCTGATCAAGTAACAGAAGCTGAACCAACATGAAACGTGTGGACGCCTTTTCTGTGACTCCATACCACGAATCAGTGATTTCATCGATAGAATCGGTAAAGCCAAGTACGTCAGCAAGTGTTTGACTTACAATCCCGCCACCTTTCAGCATCAACGACATCGCCAGCAATCTAGTGCCTGCATCGATAATAACATCACTCATTCCATTGAATGGGAGGAACACCTGAAGATGATCCGTCCCTTCTTTGAAAGACTCACAGAAGCCAAGCTAACAGTGAATTTAGTAAGTGAGAATTCGCACAGGCACATGAACAAGTTTTAGGTCATGTTATAGGTCAAGGTCAGCTTGAGCTGGTTCAAGCAAAGGTGAAATTTCCCAGGTCCCCAAAAGACAAAGGAACTTTATAAAAATATATCACGTTTGGCATCACCTTTCACTATTTTGCTTGGCAAAATGAGGAGACCCCATATTTGCTCATCGTCAACATCAATGTCATTGAACGATTTTCAAAGTTACCGAGCTATAAGAACAGTTTACTGAAACTTAATATTTGCTTTATGATGGTACATGTATTGCATCTGATGCTCACCTTTGATCATGGCAGGCACACATGTAATATCAATGTATGGTGTATCTGAAGGGTCCGATCATAAACCATAATAATAATAATAAAAATATGAAAATGAGTGGCTACATAGGGGTTAAAAATCATAGGGGTCGCCAGAAATGGACTTTACACATTGTACCAATGTGGGGAATCGAACCCAGGTCTTCGGCGTTACGAGGGAACGTTTTAACCACTTATAGGCAACCCTGATGGTTATCTACGCAATTTAGGTTATTACATTCAACAAAACAAAGTATACCTGGAACGTTTTATAATATGCAAATTTTTGACCGACAGAAAAGCCAGAATCATGTCAGAAGAGTACATCATACACATGCATTTCTGTCATGCACCAGTTAAACTTGTATGTCGTTGAAAACATGTCGCCAGTGGTACATCGTTAGTCGCCAACAGCAGATCATCAATCGCCATCAGTTCAACATCACTCGTCACAGAACGTCATTATTCGCCTGCAGAACGTCATTGCTCGTCACAGTACGTAATCACTTGTCAGCATACCGCCTTAACTCGCCACAGAACGTCATCATTCGCCACAATGCATTGTTATTCGTCCTCATTTCACAAAAGATCACCAAGTCATCACACGCCAATTCCCAATGGTGCCCTGTAGAACCCTGTCACAGCTCCATCAATATCTTACTTCAACACACGCATTCAGATTAAATCTGAATGGCTATAGCGGAGTTGATTTCGAATGAGCTCGATTGTTCACCATGTAAATAACTAGGTTCAGGGGATGCAACTTCGTGATTTGGGAATGGCATATAGTGGCATGCGGGGATAGCAGTTACTCATTTACACAAACTTCAGGGAATCCATTGGCAGTTGTAATAGTTCTGTTAAACATATGGTTGACTTGGGGGTTTATTGCAAATTCTAAGTGAAATTCATATATGTTTATGTTCATCTACATAATTGTCTGCGTTTAGATATATGTGTTTCACAATCCTTTCATGATGTCAGTCTTTCACAGAAATTATTGTCACAAACATTGTCACAAAGAAATAAAGAAATTGAGACACATGGCTAGAATACTCTACCACAATTATTCAACGGAATTCAACGACTTGGTGACTTCAGTGAGCACAGGCAGTAACCACATATGAGATTCATAATGAGGAGGAGACTAAAATGTCAGTTTATCACCGTTTATTAAAAGTTTGGGGAATATATTTTTGCATAATAAAATACTTATTTGACAAAGAGTTTACAATATAGAGCAAACTTTATGGATAACAACTTCTTTTTATTCGTGAGTGCGACGTTTCGATACAGATTCTATGTCAATGCTTGACAACGGTATAATAGAATCTGTATCGAAACGTCGCACTCACCAATAAAAAGAAGTTGTTATCCATAAAGTTTGGATCGTCATATGAGCGAAATATTCTCAAGCACGACGTTAAACCCAATTTCACCTCACCTCACCTCATAAAGTTTGCTCTATATTGTACTTCCCAACTTCTAAAATGCCATTCAAAGAAGTTAAAGAGTTTACAGTAAATCTTCTTGTTCCTGTTGTATGACAACGTTGAAACACTCACAGGGTCTACGCTTTGTTTTCTTGCTGACATTGGAAACAGTATTATTTTCGGGGAATAGCTTTTACTTGGAATTCACTTGGCGAATGTGTGAAGCCCATAATTCCATCCACTGGAGGCTATTTCCCGTTCACCGGGACGAACTTGAACCTCTGAATCATGGTGGTGAGGAAGAGGAAGAGCTCCATCCGGGCCGTTGCCTCCCCCAGGCTAACCCTTCGTCCTTGAAACAAGAAATGAAAAAAGTAATCATTACCGCATGTGTGCATATGCGTACGTGTATATACATGTGTGTATGTATCTATGTCCTTACAAGTCTATATGTCGCATTTCTAGGTAACTCACCCAAAGAAAACGGAATGAATTCATCCCTCTTCTGAATCTTGCCTGCGCGGTCAAGGCAATTGTCCGGTCGAAAGTTTTGTGGGTCTCCCCATACATCCGTGTCTTGGAGGACTGAATCAAGGTTCAATATAACTGTGACGCCTTTCGGGAAGGTGTATCCTCTGAACTGTACATCTTGTGCAACTGCGTGAGGGACACCAGTAGGGACAATATCAGCGTATCTTAAGACTTCCATAATGGTGGCCTCTACGTAGGGGAGGTTTGTCTGTTCCTTTATTGATGGTCGTCTGCTCTGACCAACATTTACCAGAATCTCCTGGAAGCACTTCTCTTGTATATCTGGGTAGTTCAGGAAGTAGACCAGTGCCCAACGTATTGTGGTTGACGTTGTCTCTGTACCCGCAACGAAACAGATCAGCAATAGTCCGAGCCAGATTCTCCACTGCCAACATGAATTAAATTTTAGTGCTGGGTTCAAACCTTTACATGACAGATGTAACATGACACATTTTAAAATCTGAAACACAATACTTTTTTAAAAGTAAAAACTCAGTAACAGAATCAGCTGTTTATTGTTCAGTCAATGTAGATTCTGAAAGAAAGTTCAGTTTCCTCAGTCTGTCAATTTACAGAATCAACAATAGAATTTGATAGAATTTAAGATCAAGGTCAAATCGCAAAGGCCAAATTAAATAACATGAGTAAAGAATATGAACTAATAACTACATATATACCCAATGTATTATGCATTACATCCTGAGCAAAAATACCTTTATACCATTGATATGTTTCAAATTAAGTCTGCGGTGTTGGACCTTGATACCGTGAACAGCCTCTTCCTGCCAAAAAATGAGTCAAAAGAGATGAGGAACTGGAAGAGTGTCTTTGTAGAATGTCAGTCGGCGATGATGTCATTGGTTGAATGCATAAACTGAATAAAAGGAATAAATCTATTCTGACCCTGTGGACGACATTTAAAATGTAATGCATCAGTGACAAAAATGATGTCCGATGCAATTCTCTCATTTGACTTGTACCAAACATTCGCATTTTTCTTCAAGTGAACAATTGACCAGCCTTTGCATTTGACAGGTACCACCGGTGGGGCAGGATATGTTCATCCTTTCGCAAACATCACATCACTTTTATCATCCCTGTTTGATAGTGATTCATAATCATATGCTCAGACACCGCATCTCATGGTGTCAATCACTCAAATGTTTACAGACCATGTCGAACAGCTCTAATGCTGTTGAATGCAGCGTCCAACCATCACGTAGTCAGAATAGACTCTGCTTTCAGCAGATATATACTTCTTCTGGATGTGGAAAGGCTTTCGTCGTTTCTCTTTGAAACTTTAAACTTCTTAAACAAATTCAGAAAAAGCCATCATAGTTTGAGTATCCCTAATTTCCTTCACTGGTCTAATGGTTACTGATGAGATAGCGTTTACAATGCAATTTGAGAGTATTTAGGAGCATTATATATATAATAATTTCATATAGGAATTTCAATAATATCATAATAATAAACATTAATATACTCAGCAGCAAAAAGCACCGTCAGCACGAATTAAAAATTAGATAGGCACTGTAATCAAACCATTACAGAAATTGACATAATAAGCGGATCAAAAACATTTTTGGTGTACAATAGCTTGACACATCAATGAATAACTCAATTCCAAGACATTATGTGAAAATTTGCAGTCCATTCAGATTCTTGACTTCAGTATCTAGTGTGACCACCACGGGGCGGCAATAACTGCAGAACAGCGTCTATGCATGGAGTGCACCAATCGATTAAACCTGGAACCGCACTCTGAGAAAGGCCTGGCGCAATAAATCGGCTGTGTTCGGCCTCCTCTGAATTTCATCCCAAAGATATTCAATTGGGTTTAAATCAGGACTAAGGGCTGGCCACTGCATAATGTTGTCACCGTTCTGCTGGAGGCAGTCCCGTGTAGCTCTGGCAGTATGGGCCCGGGTGATATCATGCTGGAAAATGTTGTTCCGATGACGTGCAATTTGTGGTATGGGGTGGGGTCTGAGAGCTTGGTCGGTGTAGCGAACCACTGTGATGCCACTTTCTCTCACTGGACCAAGGTTCTGGAACACCACAGGAACCACTCTCTGGTTCAGGCCTATTCTACCCCATACCATGATGCTTGCACCTCCCCATGAGTCTCTTTCCATAACACATTGGTCTGAGTACCGCTGGCCACGTCGTTACCATATTCTTGTTCTGCCATCTGCAGTTGATACGCAGTACCGACTCTCATCTGTCAACAGAACAGTTCTCCATTGCCTGTATCGCCAGTTTTGGTGTTGTAGGGCAAACTGTAGACGTTCACGCCGATGACGAGGGATAACGATAGGTCCACGGTAAGGTCTACGGCAATGTAGGTTCCCGCTGTTAAGACGTCGGCGTACTGTATCAGTACTGATGGGTCTTCCATGTGTTCCCACTGTTTCGCGTGATGTTTCGGATGCCTGCATGAGGGGATTCTGTACATGCTGTCGCACAACATGGCGGTCTTGTCGTCTTGTGGTCATCCTTGGTCTGCCAGTACGGGGGCGATCATTTGTGGTGTTGGTGGCCCGGTGTAGATGGTCCGAACGTGGACCTGGAAGTGATTGGCAACGGCTTGTACAGTGTGGCCAGCTTCAAGTCTTCCTAGCGCCTGGTTCCTCTGAGCTGTCGTGAGTCGCGGCATCCTGCTAACGTTGTAATGTGAATCTGTCAACCAGGTTTAGGGGTCCATTTTATAGGGCTGGTCATTGTGAACAGCACGTGCAGCATGAGTTCTATGAAAAACATGAAGAACACCGTACCATCTCCGAAATCAGGTTGCGTTTTTGAGACCATTTCCTGGGTTCCATTCTGAGTTTTGGAAGGAATGTCTTTGCTCAGGTAAAGTTGGAGATGTTGTCAAATATAGACAATCAAAACATTAAATGAGTTTACAGTTTTTTCGTTTCTGCGAACGGAAAATTCCAAACTGACGTTTCTTTTGCTGCTCAGTATATACTATATTTATGATATTATAAATGAAAAATTAGAGTCTTTAATAGACATTATTTTATGCTCGAGGGCAAAAAGAAATATCTGGACTTGTCTTTTTTATAATTATTGCTTATACACCTGCGGAAATCACACACATATATATATATATATATATATATATATATATATATGAATGGCTATCAATACGTTTTGAGCCTAAAATACATCTGATTTATACATGATAAAAATAACTGTATGATAATGAAGAATGGTTTATATCATTCATATAAACATAATATTGACACGCACAGGTCGCTAGTTTTCGGTCACGTGACATCTAATCACATGTACCGCTATTGAAACTGCAGAAATGGATAAGCTTGTGTACAGGGCAGTCATAAAGTGTTTGGTCCTCGAGTGCCAGCCGGCGAAGCACGTTGAAGAGCGACAGACAGCTGTACAAGTACCCCATGGGACTTTTAAATAGCCCCTCGTATACATAAGGTGTATTGACTATGATATAAATACACTTGACTTTCAGTTAGTTTGTTTAAAACTGGATTTATTAATATGTATGTGCTTACTCAAATGATGTAGACTTTACAGCATACTATATTTAAATACTATTTTAATAGTTTATGACTTTATTGTGCTACAACCCAACACAAAAGCTCCGAAGAACCAATACTAAGCGCTAATGTAAACAGAAACAGAAATGTGTGTTCCCATGCAAGCCAAAGGCCTTGAAAGTAAATACCAAACAGAACTCAGATATGTAATACATAATGTACACCCGGCGAATATCTTTAAACTTACACTCTAACGTTGTTGTTTCTTGTTTCTGATGGCGACGTCGCATCTCCTTCAAGTATTCATGGATGAAATCGTCCCGACTTTCCTCATCCTGATCGTCTAAGTGATCTTGAACTAAAGGTTTAATCAGCAGATTATCCACAATATTGACATTGTCCATTGTTTTCCTGAACTTGAATGGATCTCCAGGCAAAAATCGCACAAGAGGGAAAAAGTTCAGTAATCCCGATGCTGTGCTGCTTTGAAAATTCTCATCCAAAGATTCCATAAATCTGACAAAAGGAGGGTCGGTATATTCAAAACGTTTGCCAAAGATAATGGAACAGATGACATTTGATACGGCATTCTGCACAAGACGCTCTATGTTGAAACCCCGGCCTTTCTCTTCCTCCAGGGCCACCATAAACTGAGCAATTTCCTCGTGTATTTTGTCCTCCATGATGGTTCTTCCCACTCCAAACTCTCGCAGAGCGTTGAGTGTAAATCGTCTCTGTTCATGCCACAAGTGCCCGGAGGTTCCGATTACTCCTGTAGGGAAAATGCAAATAAGTAGAATAAGATATTATGATGTTACGTGGCAGTGTTTATAGTCATTGTAGAACAGTGTTGTATTTGTACCACATTCTATCTGCTACAATTCATTTGAGAACAATGGTATGGTTGTTACTCTATTTTGACTGAGAGGCAGGACAAGGTGTGGAATGGTCTAAGGCCTATTATGGCGGCTATAGAATATATACTGAAAGCCATTAAAAACGCAATTGGTATTTGTTGTCCTGGAACTTACAAAAGTTCTATTGAAGATTTTTTTCCTGCGATACAGAGGATGTAGGGATAAAAGGCTGTTATTCTGACCCATTTTGAGTTCGAGTCCCAGAGCATTCCTCTCACATGAACTTAAAACAGAACCATTGACATTTCTCGTAAACACAACTACATTCATGAAACACGTTGTGCAGGTACGTTACCTGCACCAAGGTCCTTGAAAAACACAAGGAATTGTGAAACTCAACCACTTTGAGAAAATGCCACGCCTGACAGACGAAGAAAGGAATCAGGCTATGGTCAGTCAAGGTGATAATTGTCAGGCACTTTAATGTGCATCCATACACTGTAAGTCGACTCAGACAACGTTTTCGGGCCACCGGAAGTGTTGCTGATCGTCCGCGACTGGACCGCTTTATCCGAGTTTCACACTTGCTAAATCAGTTCCAAACAGCTGCTGATACGGCAAGGAGGACAATTGGGAAAAGACAACGTCATGTCAGCGCCCAAACGGTGCGAAGACGCTTTCATGCCTTAATAAACAGGTCAGGGCGAGTTGTCATTTTTTCAGATGAATCCAGGTGTAAAGTATCCTTTGCAAGTGGACGTCAACGGATTTATAGACGTCGAGGAGGAAGACTTGCGCCAAACTGTCCTAGAACATGATCGTTTTGGAGGGGGTGGTGTGATGATCTGGTGGGCTCTCAATGCCAACTTTCGATCCCAGATGGTAGTGGTTACGGCAATCTGAATGCTCAACGTTATGTGGACAATATCCTTCGTCCGGCTGTACTCACAATGATGGATCGACATGGCGGTCGTAACCATGTTGTGTTTCAGCATTATAATGCACGTCCCCATGCAGCCAGGGCAACAAAGGGCTTTTTGAATAATGAGACTGTTAGTGTGATGGACTGACCTACATTGTCCACAGGCATGAACCCAATCGAGCATCTGTGGGATGAACTTGGACGGCGATATCGAAATCAACTTGTGCCCCCAAGGACAGTTGCTGAATTGTCTCAGGCCCTTCATCATCACTGGCAGACCATCCCACAGTTGTTCCTGAGAAATTTGTGTCTTTCAATGCCCCGGAGACTGCGAGCATGTCTTGCAGCGCACGGTGGACACACACGATAATGACTGCAAGTGGCCCCTCCTTTGTTTGATGTCGTTGTTCCGTCACTGACGTTGTTGTTCATTTTCGACATTTTCAGATGAAATTATCCACAGATGTTCATTTAAGAGAAATCTGCCAGTTACATTTACATATGGTGACATTTGTGTGAGTAAAGTAATGTCAAATTGCGTTTTTACTGGCTTTCAGTATATTATACATCTTGCCATGTGTATCAAAGTGAGTGAGTGAGTGAGTGTGTGTGTGTGTGTGTGTGTGTGTGTGTGTGTGTGTGTGTGTGTGTGTGTGTGTGTTTGTGTATGTGTGTGAACGGATACAAACACCGTCTGATAACGTCTTTCTAAATGACGCGGCAGTAAGTTTAACACTTTACACTAGTATCACCGGTTCAAAATGAAATTTCTTGTCCATCGACAAACTTCTTCAAACCAGCAAATCTGAAATCGACCCTTATTAGGTTAAGGTATGTCTATGTAAGTTTCGTGGCTTCCTCCTAATTAAGATGGTTGAATGGGTAAGAAATTTAGGCAAGAAGCAAGCATTGCTACGGGCACCAACGAGCTCCCCACACCTTCTGCCAAACGGAGGATTCCGACTATATCATGAACATGCGTTTATCTATTACTGTCAATTGTGACAACATCTTGTGTGGGTGAGGTATCCTGCCCCCACCAGTGGCAGCTGTCACTAACACACGCAAAGGCAATTCGGTTCTTCCCCTGGACAATGTGATACAAGCCACGCTTTCACTTCGTCCTTGCTTCTTTCCTCATTCGGGGTGGTGGGGTAGCCTAGTCGTCACGCCAAAGCCCCGGGTTCGATTCCCCACATGGGTACAATGTGTGAAGCCCATTTCTGGTGTCACCCACCGTGATATTGCTGGAATATTGCTAAAAGCACTCACTTTCCGCACTCGATCGCAGTGTCACCAAAGGCAAAGTATTATTCAATTTTTAGAGTCACTAGTAAAACTCCTTCAATTCAGTTAAGCTATAAAGAAAACGTACCTTTGCCCTTTGATATAAAGTCAGTTATAAAAGTGTGCGGTCTTTAGGAGAAGACGTCTGCGTTCTTGACTATGGCTTCTTTAATAACGTTGTAGCCGTTGAGGACGATGAGAGGCTTGTGGAAAACATACAGACTGAAAATGTCGCCATAATTCTGACGAAGTTTCTTAAACAAGATCCGGGGATCAGCGTCCATGGACAGGGCGTTCCCCACGAATGGAAGGAGAGGGGTGGGGGTGGGGGTGGGTTGGGTGGGTTAGTACAGGTGGGCGCCGCGTTGACAGCCATAACACTACCAGTACCACGACCAGAAATGAGGCAACGGTTGTAACTCCAAAGTCCAACATCGTCGTAAGCTAGTTTCCAGCCTGTGTAAAACCTGACAGGAAAGAGCGAGACTGAGTACAGCTGTGGAGTGTCACATTCCCACTGCTCACTGATTTAAAACGCAGCCGTGTTTCAATGCTTACACAGTGGGTCAACCAATGTACATGTTGTTCGTTCGAGTTCCCCGGCCCTACTGAATAAATTCAATGCGAGTCCTACTCTAGTATGGAATGATTGTAATCCTGAAATTAGTGATTGTTCTGGACTTTATTTGTAGATAAATGTATCAATGATTTAACCTTATTTCTGGTTCTAAATGTCAGTGTAGAGTTGACCCAAAGATGATTTCACAATTTATACGTTTAGTTGAAGGGCAGCTTAACCGAGCCTACTTTCTGTCACGTAGCCAGTGTTGTTGGTGACGTAGTACCCATAGAGCTCTCAAAGGCTCCATTCAATCGCAGAATGTGTTTATCAAACATTTTAAAAATATTATATTTACTCTTAATGTATTTTCACTTTGTTAAAAAGGTTTCAGCAAACTTTGATTCAGTCAGAATCTCTGTTTTATATCTCACTACGACATTCCGCTAAAGCCTGACCCGCGGAGATATGACTGGAACGTTGCTAAATATATACGGCGTTAAACCCAGTTCACACACTCACTCACTCACTCACTCACTCAGATAAGGTTTTCCAGTCTGAAAAATCTTTTCACCTGTTACAAAACAACTGAATGAGAAGATATTCCTTTTAACAAAATTATTAGCAAAATATTTTTTATAGAACATTTAAAAATATGATATTTACACTTACGTATTTTCTTTGTTGTAGTCAGAATCTCTGTGTATATATCTCACAACGACATTCCTCTCCGGCCTGACTCGCCAAGATATGTGTATATATCTGACAACGACATTCCTCTCCGGCCTGACTCGCCAAGATATGAGTATATATCTCACAACGACATTCCTCTCAGGCCTGACTCGCCAAGATATGAGTATATATCCCACAACGACATTCCTCTCCGGCCTGACTCGCCAAGATATGTGTATATATTTCACAACGACATTCCTCTCAGGCCTGACTCGCCAAGATATGTGTATATATCTCACAACGACATTCCTCTCCGGCCTGACTCGCCAAGATATGTGTATATACGTCACAACGACATTCCTCTCAGGCCTGACTCGCCAAGATATGTGTATATATGTCACAACGACATTCCTCTCCGGCCTGACTCGCCAAGATATGTGTATATATGTCACAACGACATTCCTCTCCGGCCTGACTCGCCAAGATATGTGTATATATGTCACAACGACATTCCTCTCCGGCCTGACTCGCCAAGATATGTGTATATATCTCACAACGACATTCCTCTCCGGCCTGACTCGCCAAGATATGTGTATATATCTCACAACGACATTCCTCTCAGGCCTGACTCGCCAAGATATGAGTATATATCTCACAACGACATTCCTCTCCGGCCTGACTCGCCAAGATATGAGTAAATACCTCACAACGACATTCCTCTCCGGCCTGACTCGCCAAGATATGTGTATATATCTCACAACGACATTCCTCTCCGGCCTGACTCGCCAAGATACGACTGGAACGATGCTACCTACATAAGTGCGGCGTTAAACCCGACTCGTCCACTCACTCACTCAGATGAGGTTATCAGTCTGAATAATCTTTTCACCTGTTATAAAACAACTGAACGACATGTCAAGAAGATTTGGCTTTTAAGAAACTGACTTTATTCCACACAGAATTACAGAACAATGAGATAAATAGGCTGAAATCCGATCAAGGGATGTTCCAGTAACAGTCAGTGATATCGATTTCAATATTGGATGACAAAACAAAACAAAATGAATATTAAAGGTAAAGTAAATTCATCTTGTCTCCGACAATGCGGCCTGATGTCAATGCAATGGCCACATGACTTCATAGAAAATGATTGGTCAAGAAAATACACTAAGTCTCCTGTTTATAGCAGTATAAATAAACAGAGAACACTTCCCTTTCGTACGAACAATTGGCAACAGGATTGATTGTACACTGTTGCGTTGTTACGAATACTTCCAGGAACTTAGGCGAAAATGTGACTTGTCTCTGCCCAGGTTTGTCATGTTGTCATCTGTGGGGGAGTATATGCTCACGTCGCGCCTATGCTTGTCCATGGCAAGCTGTTTGGGAACATTACTTGTTCGATTTCATAACATTGATATCTCATGACCATGTTTCAACCACCTGACACATTAAACATATATATTTCCTATTTGCAGAATATGATTCAATCTGCCGTTTGCTTTGTTATAACTATTCAATGAGTGAGTGAGTGAGTGAGTTTAGTTTTACGCCGTTTTCAGCAATGTTCCAGCAATATCACGACGGTGGACACCAGGAATTGGCCCCACACATTGTAACCTTGTGGGGAATCGAACCCAGTTCTTTGGCGTGACGAGCGAACGTTTTATCCACTTGGCTACCCAACCGCCCCTCAATGACAAAGCAAGGGCACATATTGATATTTCAGACTGCAGCTTAGGTTATTATTCAACAAAACATGAAAATATACCCGGAACACATTAAATAATATGCAATATTTTGACTGACAGTATAGCAAGAACCATGTCGGAAGAGTACATCATACACATGCATTTTCTGTCATTCACCACAGTCAGGGTCGTATGTAGTTGAAAACATGTCGCCAGTAGTACGTCGTCTGTCGCCAGCAGTTCAACATCACTCGTCAACGAAAGTCATCACACACCACCAGAACGCCATCGCTTGTACCAATATGTCACCACTCGCCATCAGTTCAACAGCTTTCGCCACAAAAGATCACCACGTCATCACTCGCCACAATGCATTATCACTCGTCATCAGTTCAACAGCTCTCGCCACAGAAGATCACCATGTCATCACTCGCCACAATGCATTATCACTCGTCATCAGTTCAACAGCTCTCGCCACAGAAGATCACCATGTCATCACTCGCCACAATGCATTATCACTCGTCATCAGTTCAACAGCTCTCGCCACAGAAGATCACCATGTCATCACTCGCCACAATGCATTATCACTCGTCATCAGTTCAGCAGAAGATCACCACAGAAGATCACCACTCTCCAGCAGTGCATCGTCATCCCTCGCCACAGTACAGTACGCCATCACTCGCCATCATTACATTATCACTCACCAGGAACACGGCATCACTCGCCTGCAATACACCGCAGCTTAGTTCATAATATCATCATTTTAACACCATCTCCCGCCAGCAGTGCATTTTCCTGATTAAACAAATACGCATTGCAGTGTGCTCTGCGCCCTGTGTAAACAGCCCGTGCGTGAAATGCCTTTCCAGTAGTATCCTGAACAACCCATATCTTATGAGATGTGGTGTGAACGCCACAGCAATGGATATTCTCACAGGCAAGCGGCTATTTGGCCAGGTCATACCAACTGGTTCCACCGCAGCTCAATATCTTACTTCAACAGAGTGACGCATTCAGATTAAATCTGAATGACGACAGAGGAGTTGATTTCGAATGAGCTCGAGTGTTCACCATTGAAGTAAATAGGTTCAGGGGATGCAACTTCGTGATTTGAGGATTGCATATAGTGGCATACATGAATAGCTGTTACTCATTTACACACGCTTCAGAGAACCCATTATCAGTTGTAATAGTTCTGTCTGGGTGATTTGGGTGTTTATTGAACATTGTCAGGGAAATTCATACATATCTTTGTTTATCTACAGAGTTTTGTATATGTGTTTCGCACAATCCTTTCATGATGTCAGTTTTTTCACAAATATTAGTGTCACAATCTTTGTCATAAAGAAATTTAGACACATGGCTAGAATACTCCACCACTGTTATTCAACTGGATTCAAATGACTTGATAACTTCAGTGAGCACGGGAAGTAAGTACTTTCAACAAAGAGGAGGAAACAGTGCTAAAATGCCAGTTAATCACCGTATATTACAATTTTGGGGGATATTATTTTATTATAAAACATAATTTGACAAAGAGTTTACAGTAAAGAAGTCTTCCTGTTCCTGTTGTTTGACAACGTTGAAACACTAACAGGGTCTATGCTTTGTTTTCGTGGTGACATTGCAACAGTATTAGTTTCGGGGAATAGCTTTTACTTGGAATTCACTTGGCGAATGTGTGAAGCCCATAATTCCATGCATTGGAGGCTTTTTCCCGTTCACTGGGACGAACTTGAACCTCTGAATCATGGTGGTGAGGAAGAGGAAGAGCTCCATCCGGGCCATTGCCTCCCCCAGGCAAACTCTTCGTCCTTGAAATATGAAATTAAAAGGTACAGTGGTACAGTGTCATTACCGTGTGTGTGTGTGTGTGTGTGTGTGTGTGTGTGTGTGTGTGTGTGTTTATGTGCGTGTATATGTATGAGTGTATGCATCCATGTACATGTCCTTACATGTCTATATGTCGCGTTTCTAGGTAACTCACCCAAAGAAAACGGAATGAATTCATCTCTCTTCTGAATCTTGCCTGCACGGTCAAGGAAATGGTCCGGCCGAAAGTTTTGTGGGTCTCCCCATACATCCGTGTCTTGGAGGACTGAATCAAGGTTCAACATGACTGTGACACCTTTCGGGAAGGTGTATCCTCTGAACTGTACATCATGTGCAACTGCATGAGGGACTGCCGTAGGTGCAATATCAGCGTACCTCAGTGCTTCCAGGATGGTGGCCTCCACGTAAGGAAGGTTCGTCTTGTCCTTCATGGATGGTCGTCTGCTCTGACCCACGTTTTCCAGAATCTCCTGGAAGCACTTCTCTTGTACATCCGGGTAGTTTAGGAAGTAGACCAGTGCCCAACGTATTGTAGTGGCCGTTGTCTCGGTACCCGCAACGAACAGGTCAGAAATAGTCCGAGCCAGATTCTCCACTGTCAAAATGAATTAAATTTTATTGCTGGGTTCAAGCTTTCGCGTGACAGATGTAACATTACACATCTTAAAATCTGAAACACAACATTCACATTCCAATGAAATACTTTTAGAAACGTGAAAACTCAGTAACAGAATCAACTGTCTAGTGTTCAGTCAGTGTAGATTCAATGTCGACAACCAAAATTGCGTTATGATAGAATTTAAGATCAAGGTCAAATCGCAAAGGCCAAAATTAAATATCATGAGTAAACAATATGGACTGTTGAATGCAACTAATAACTACATATATTCTCAATCCATTATTCATTACATCCTGAGCAAATATAACTTGGATACCATTCATATGTTTCAAATTAAGTCTGCCGTGGCGTGTTTTTGCAACTATTCAAATGCGGACCTTGATACCGTGAACAGCGTCCTACCAATTGGGATAACAACTTTAAAATCATTATGAATGCTGTCGAAGCATCTGCAAAACAACATTCATGGGTGCTATGAACGTTTGACTTGACTCTGAAACCCAAAGACGTGCCCATCCCTCCTATACTGGATTCAAAAGCTACATAAAAACCCGTACAGAGAGATATATATTTCCGGGTCCAGCAAATGTATCAACAAATCCCTGTCTCAAATATTGACGATAATCCTTATACTATCAAGGACGGACTTTCTCTGTGTTCACAGACAGTGTTAGGGACAAGCGGAATTAATACCATTTGGATTCTCAAAAAACTCGTGAATGCGTGAAGTTTTACAATCTCAGAAACGGACCGAGTTCAGTCAAAACATGAGATGTTGTACACCACTATCCAACATGACAAGCTTCAGGAAAAACTTCAGTTCTTCATCCATGGGGCATTTGCAAATAAACATGAACATATATAGCTATCTTCATAACTATCTTCAGAGATTTAGGACAATTTTTAAAAAAATGAAAGGAAATGTTATTTGAGTTCCTCGTTGATAACATTTTTATATTTTTATTTTGGGGCCGAACATCTAGACAATAAGTAGGCATCCCCATGGACGCCAATTGTAAGATTGAGGCTACAACTCTGGAGGTCTCAGTAAAGCTTTGTTTATGACGGGTACCACCGGTGGGGAACATCCTTTCGCGAACACCTGGTATCATCACTGTTTAATGGTGATTCATAAACACATCCTCTGTCATTGTATCTCATGGTGTCAATCACTCGACTTTCAGGTCCAGAGTCAACTGTTTACAGACAGAGTTTAGCCGTTTCTATTTGACAAATTCATAAAAGGCGATTATAGTTGGAATATCACTCTGAAATCTGGTTAATGATGAGATAGCGTTTACAATTCATTTTGAGAGACTTTAGGAGCATTGTTTACGTGCAAATGCGCGCGCGCGCGCACACACACACACACACATACACACACTTTGCAAGTAAATATCCAACGAAACACACACATACATACATGTATATGCTTTGCTAGTAAATATACCACAGTAGAGGTCATGCACGTCCCTTAAAATAAAGCATCAAACTTACAGTCTAACGTTGTTGTTTCTTGTTTCTGCTGACGACGTCGCATCTCCTTCAAGTATACATGGATGAAATCGTCTCGATTCTCCTCATCCTGATCGTCTAAGTGATCTTGAACTAGTGGTTTAATCAGTAGATTATCCACAATGTTGACATTGTCCATTGTTTTCCTGAACTTGAATGGGTCTCCAGGTAAATGTCGCACAAGAGGGAAAACGTTCAATAATCCCGATGCTGTGCTGCTTCGAAAATTTTCATCCAATGCTTTCAGAAATTTGACAAAGAGAGGGTCGGTATATTCAAAACGTTTGCCAAAGATAATGGAACAGATGACATTTGATACAGCATTCTGCACAAGAAGTTGTATGTTGAAACCCCGTCCTTTCTGTTCCTCTAGGGCCAACACAAACTGTGCGATTTCCTCATGTATTTTGTCCTCCATGATGGTTCTTCCCACTCCAAACTCTCGCAGAGCATTGAGAGCAAATCGTCTCTGTTCATGCCACAAGTGCCCGGAGGTTCCGATTACTCCTGTTTAAAAAATACAGTTAAGTAGAATCAGGGATATGACATGATGTATTTGTTAATGTATTTGTACCACGTTGTTTCTGCTACAATTCAGTTCAGATGTGCTTCTTACTATATATTTTTGTCTGTGAGACAGGACAAGGTGTGGTATGTTCTTGGAGATACGTCGACAATATTTTGTCCCAGTTATCATCTCGCATCACTATATGCCTACTATTCTCAACAATGCTGGATATTTAACATTTGTCTTGTGAAGAGTGGTGTACTTTGAAGGTTTACTGCATGGAACTCAGGCTTTCCCAATTCACCATATATGGTCATTGTGAATGCACGTGGTTCGTGTGCTCGTGTACACAGAAACTTTCAGCTTCATAAACGATTGTAAAATGACAACTGACAGGTAAAAACGACATTTTTAAGACCAAGCGTATTTTACTTTTATTCTATTTTCAATGTACTACATACTTAATTTGATAGTGCTTTCAACAATGATAGTAATTGGTACAAGTAATGTTTTCAATACTTCTGTCGTGACTGCCCTATTTGAAGTTGGATCATATATTTTCACTATTCAATTTGTAGAATCACTATTCACTAATAAAGAAGACGTACCTTTGCCCTTTGCTATAAAATCATTTACAAAAGAGTGCGGTCTGTCGGAGAAGACGTCGGCGTTCTTGACAATGGCTTCTTTAATGACGTTGTAGCCGTTGAGGACGATGAGAGGCTTGTGGAAAACATACAGACTGAAAATGTCGCCATACTTCTGTCGGAGGTTCTTGTACAAGACCCGGGGATCAGAGTCCATGGACAGGGCGTTCCCCACGAACGGAAGGAGAGGGGGGCCGGGGGGTAGTCCAGGTGCTCGTCGCGTTGACAGCCATAACACTACCAGTACCACGACCAGAAATAAGGCAACTGTTGTAACTCCGAAGTCCCACATCGTCGTTCACTAGTTTCCAACCCGCATGTACTTGATACGAGTGAGCGAGACTGAGTACAACTGTCGAGTGTCACATTCCTACTACCCACTGATTTCTATCACAGCCGGTTTATCAATGTTTACACAGTGAGTCAACCACGGAGTGCACATGTTATTCGTTCGAGTCCCCCGGCCCAATAGAATATATTGAATTTGAGTCCAAGTCTAGTATGGAATGATTTTGCAAGTCTGTAATGTAGAAATTAGTGATAGTTTTGGATTTCATTTGGAATAGTTTTCTAGAGAAATGTACTATTAAGATGACCTTATTTCTGGGCCTAAAAGTCAGTGTAGAGTGGACTCAGAGTTGGTTTAGCTATCTATATGTTTAGTTGAAGGGAAGTTTTAACCGACCCTACTTTCTGTCGCCAGTGTACTTGGTAACGGAGTAACAATAGAGCTCTCACAGACTCCATTCATTCGCAGAATGTTTTTATCAAACATTTTTAAAATATGTTATTTACTCTCAATGTTTTTTACTGTGTTGTAAACGTTTCAACGACCTGTGATTCAGTCAGAATCTCTGTTTTATATCTCACTACGACATTCCTAGATATGACTGGAACGATGCTAACTAAAACGGCGTTAAATCCAAGTCGCTCACTCACTCACTCACTCTATTCAGTCTGAATAATCTTTGCATCTGTTATACAACAACTGAATGATAAGAAGATTTGCCTTTATTCCACACAGAATTACAAAACAATGAGATGAATAGGCTGTAATACAATCAAGGGATGTTCCAGTAACAGTCACTGATATCAATTTCAATATTGAAGGAATATTTTTGGAGTAAACAAAAACAACATGAAAAGTGAATGCAGTTTGTCTCCGACGATGTGGCCTGGTGTCATTGCAAAGAGACGTGACGTTACAGACACTGACTTTATAAACAATGATAGAATACACTGTGTCTCCTGTTTATAGAAGTATAAATAAAGAGAGACACTTCCCCTTCGTACTAGCCAGTGGCAACAAGATTGATTATAACACTGTTGCGTTGTTACGAATACGTCCAGGAACTTAGATGAAAATTTGACTTGTCTCTGCACGCGTTTGTGATGTTGCCATTTGCGGGGGAGAATATGCTCACGTCGCGAACACGTGGTGGTATCACTGCTCGACAGTGGTTCATACACACGTGCTGTTGAAACAATCGGAATGCTTTGAGCAGACAACTGTTAGACAATGTCATTAAGAAAGTGGTCAAATGTATCACATTTCATTTGGGATTACACTTTCTCAGTAAAGTACAGATTCTAGTAAGTAAGATTCTTGTACGGTTGAGTCCCATCTGGGATTCAAACGCACACTCTCAAGGACCTAATCACCAGCACACAAAGTCAGAATATGAACTTAAGCTGTGTGAAAATACTTGCGTCAAAATATATTTATAGGAACTCGTACAGTGTAATGACGACACTGTCCTCATTGTTGCGACATACGTAGTGTGTAAACCGGGTCAGCGGTATATAGAGAGTCTCCGAGCCGACCAGTCTGTTCAAATAGTCGTGTTTCAGCGTCTCTCACAACCCAAAATATTTAATTACATGGTCAGTTATTTCAATTCTTCTTAAACAATTACATTGAACTTACACCTGATGTCAGTATGATTATAGCACTATTTTGCCTTTTCCCATTTTTAATATTTTCACACGTTACTATTATGACTGGATGAAGACTGAACCCTGGGAATGGATTTTATAAGGAATGATTTCGGGGAGTGAGTTAAGCCGACAGTTCCTTGTAGAGGAGGTTTCTGTCCATTCACCGGCAGGAAATGGAATCTCTGGATCATGGTGGTGAGGAAGAGAAAGAGTTCCATTCGGGCCATCGCTTCGCCGAGGCAAACTCGTCGGCCTGCAATAACAAAGATATTTGAAATGAGATTTGTTTGTCTGTTGCTTCACGCTGCACACACAGGTAACTAAGCTGACTTTTTGTCAACGAACCCGGACATCTCGCTCTCATGTTAACATGCTAAATGTACAAGGCCAAAACAGTTATCAGATTGCATTGATATTCATAATGACCTCAGTATCTTTCATATATTCTGTATATGTATAAATGAAATAGGCAGCATACATAAGAACTACACTATTGGCTTGCATGGACACCTGCTCCTGAGAATAATATAGCATTATTAAAAGAATAACAATTCTTAGAAAGAATCATTAACATAGAAAGTCCAACAACCCTGCAGAAAACGGTACAAATCAATGCCACCATGAAACACAAGCCACGCCTATATAGAGGCCTTCCGGAAACAGTAGCCTGATCGTGGGTGTGGCCTATACTGTTCTGTTTATAGATCCATAAACACATTGAAAGTGCTTGGTTATCTGTCACGGAATCACCTGTACTGTAATTCTTGTTGCATATACTGCTGACACTTGCTTTTAACAATATAATAACAGTGATAAAAACTATATATGACCCTGGAAACACGCCATTAGGTCGTTATAATAAGTAACGGGTATCAGGCTCGTAGACAAATGTATGTCATCCTATCCTGTATGTTTAAAAACTTGATATTCTAGTCCAAACTCGGTTATTTCCATGACACACTTACGTTGTTGTAATATTGGTGAGTGTTGCAAACCTTAATCCTAACAAATATTATGGTTTTCAAATTGAGATTTTTCTGCTCCTGAACACGTAGCCTTTCACAGTCACACTTACCAAGAGAAAAGGGGATGAACTCGTCATTCTTTCGGATTTTGCCTTTGTCGTCAAGGAAACGCTCCGGACGAAACTGATCTGGATCTACCCAAACATCCGGGTCTTGAAGCACCGAATCAAGCATCAGTGCAACTGGGACGCCTTTGGGGAAGTTGAATCCCCTGAAGTGGACATCGTAAGGGACGGTGTGAAGGGCACTGACGGGAGCAATGTCAGCCCGTCTCAACACTTCCATAATGGTGGCCTCCACGTAGGGGAGGTTCGACTTGTCCTTCATGGATGGTCGTCTGCTCTGACCGACGTTTTCCAGAATCTCCTGGAAGCACTTCTCTTGTACATCCGGGTAGTTCAGGAAGTAGACCAGTGCCCAACGTATGGTGGTGGCAATCGATTCCGATCCGGCAACAAACAGGTCAGTGATAACTGTGCGTAAATTGTCCACTGTAAAAGAAGCATAAACACTTAGTGTAAGTAGTCCTTCATGGCTTTGTTGGGGGTGATTATCTGACGTCTTGTATCAAACACATCCTAATATTAACACTGCAACATAACTCTATCTATCTATCTTTGTAACTGTATATTTATCTACCTATTTCTTTAATTCTGTGTATTTGCTTATCTATCTACCTTTGTATTTGTCTATGTATCCGTTATGTATTCTCATATCTACTTAATTATTATGTATTTGTGTATATACATACCTATGTATCTGCCTGTTTGTCTACCAAGTAGTTGTCTATCTATCTACCTACCTATGTGTTTGTCTATCTATCTACCTATGTAATCGTCTATCTACCTATGTATCTGCCTGTATGGCTCCCTATGTATTTGTCTATGTGTCTGTCTATGTATCTCGTTCTCAGAGAGTGGGAAAGACATCTTCCAGGATCTTACAGTTCAAAGTTGTGTCTTTTTGCTGTTTTTGGCGACGTCGCATTTCCTTGATGTATGCATAAATGAAGTTGTCCACGTTGTTGTCGTCGTGTGTGTTTAAGTGTTCCTCTATAACAGGCAGTATGAAGAGTGACTCGATCATTCTGACATTGTCCATGGTTCTCTTAAATCCAAACATATCACCAGGCAGGAAGCGCAACATTGGTAAAATGTTCAACACAGCTGATGCTCCGGTTGTGGCAAAACATTCCTCTATTGCTTTTAGAAAGTTGGTAAAAAGAGGATCCGAATACTCAAAACGCTTCCCAAATGCGGTTGAGCAGATGACATTGGCCGCCGCGTTATGAACAAGTCGCATACAGTCAAAGCCCTCACTCTTCTCCATCTCCCATGCTGCGAGAAACTGCGAGACTTCGTTGTGTATTTTGTCTTCCATGATTGATCTACCGACCCCGAATTCTCTCAGAGTGCAGAGAGCAAACCGTCTCTGTTCACGCCATAGATCACCCGAGCTGGCTACCACACCTGTAAGAACGAAGAAAGCAACATGTACACCGAAATCCAAGCATTTTCACATTCGATACCTCCTTTTACAGAAACGTATATGGTTATTCCAAAAAGAGCAGACGAAACTGATTCTACCACATATTTGATTTTCAATTGAAAATAACCAAAGTAGCGATATTATTATCCAAATTATAACCAGTACAATGTCGTGGAATATCTGCTTTCCTTAGAAAATAATTTGGTATTTAAGTACATACCAAATTTATCTATATAATTACAATAATATGCGAACCCGAGGGACATCTTTGACAGTTCTTCTTCTGCACATCTTTATTGAAGGTTAACGGTAAAATATCCATGTTTTGTTACTTTCAACTTTAATCGTATTAAACAATACAAATGTAAGCTAGGTCATGTGTCTGCTCATTTTGAGCTTAATTTATAGCATCAATCAAACATTGTATCGAGTGCATGTGCACTAGAGCATGTATAAAAGCTGGTCTGGTCAAGGTGCTTTGAATGGAAGGGAACGATAAGTAGGGCTAATGAATGAATGGGCACAGTTGGTGTACCTTGTCTATATTTAGTGAAAGGTGGATATCTAGGAATGTGGTTGCTAGGATGGCATAAAAAAGGAAATTTTAGCCTTTCAACCTTCGTTAAGGATTGACACACATAATTTTCTTCGTGTGATGTGAGCCAGTAAGTGAGAGTGTGGTTTTACAATATTCCAGCAATATCGCGGCGGGGGACACCAGAAATGGGCTTCCCACATTGTACCCATGTGGGGAATCGAACCTGGGTCTTCAGCGTGACACCCGTGAAGGTCCGGGTTAGAATGAACCTTCAGTAATCCATGCTTGTCGTAAGAGGCGACTAACGGGATCGGGTGGTCAGGCTCGCTGACTTGGTTGACACATGTCATCGGTTCCCAAATTGCACTGATCGGTGCTCATGCTGTTGATCGCTGCATAATCTGGTCCAGACTCTATTATTTACAGACCGCCGCCATATAGCTGGAATATTGCTGAGTGCGGCGTAAAACTAAACTCACTCACTCTTCGGCGTGACGAGCGAGCGCTACCCCACCGCCCCAAAGCGAACCAGTGGAGTTTATCTTGGACAGTATTGTATGTAGAGACACGTACCTTTTCTCCTTAATATGAAGTCATTCAGTAGTGAGCGTGGTCTGTCGGAGAAGACGTCGGAGTTCTTGACGACTGCGCTTTTCAGAACATCGTAGCCGTTGAGGACGATGATGGGCTTATGAAAGACGTAAACGCTAAAGATATCGCCGTACTTTTGTCGGAGGTTATGGAACGTAATCCGGGGATCGGACCCCATACATAGGGCGTTCCCCAAAACAGGGAGAAGAGGGGGGCCGGGGGGAAGCCCCGGGGGTCGCTGCGTGGACAGCCACAACAGAGCTAGAACAACGGCAAGAACTAAGACCGTAGTCGGGCTCATTTCGAACACATCCCACATTGTGTGTCTTCAGTTCGTATATGATCGTTTTCCGTCGTAGCATTTGATGTACTCAGACGTTGTCATCTCCTGCTTCGACTGACAGTAGGAAGTATGAGCATCTCCCAGTACCGTATTGATTCTAAAAATATGATCACTAGTAATGGGAATCCAAAGGCTCGTTTCGCTTTATCATGGGAATAGTAAGAAGGTAGTGGATTGGATGACACCTCTGATACTCGCTGTCGTCGATTGCGTGTCGTAATGACTGCGTTGCTTATCATACCAATCAGTGGTTTCTCGGGTCTACAGCTGAAGGACACTTCATTTTGTTTCTCCGACCTGGTGAAGATTTGACCCGTGCGACAGTAATAAAAGAACGGTGTTAAAAACCTGCAGAATGGATGTTGATTTCCGTCCTAGCAATTTGCCGTGCAGAGTAATGTCCTTTAACCGTGACAGGATCCACTGTTGAATTCCCAATAAAGCTTCGTTATTATCAATAGGAAAGCTATTAGTTTTATCACAACGTCTCCATGGGGTTTACACAAATGCTGTTTTCAGGACCCCATTGATTTCCGGCAAGTTGTCCGTAGCCGTACATCGTCCTAAACTCCATGCACTCGGACTTCGCTATAACCAATATGTACTATTTTGCGCTAGCCGTTTAAACAACGTTGTCATTTGAATTCTGATAACCAATACCCAATGTCTATTATTTGGTATTAAATTGCCAAATTCGATATTTAGTGTTACAGGTTGTTCCAGCATTCCATGGGGCCAATCAACCCACGTGTTCTTACAAAGTAATACTTACATATGTATTATACGCCAAATCAAGGGACAACACGGTAATGAGTGACTGCCCTACACTGTCAGTAGGTTCTTCTTCCTATTTACGGATATGGTGACATTTGAAATGTCAAGGGCAGGTGAGTTTAGACAGCCTCGCGTCACTTGACTTACATCCCGTGTGTAAGATATGGGTTAGTCAACGGAAAACGCATCAATAATAAATATTAATGAACAAATGTAGAGTATCAGATTAGGAAGCCAAATAACGCTGAATATTAAACTTTGTTGAACGTAAATAACAAAACATTTGCGAAAGGAACGCTAGTGTTTGAAAGGCGTTTTAATTGCGGATAACAAGCATCAGTTGCGGAAGTAATGTGCTAACATCTGCTGATGTCCATGCATACACAGTGTACCATGGTCTTGGAGAACACGATCAGGTTGTAGAGGATGCCGGAAACTACACTAGGTTAAATTGTCCAGGCACACAAATGTTTGTCGTCATTAATGCTAAATCATACTTCAGTTTATTATTTCATTGCAAAAGTATAACAAATTAATGACAGATTAATGACCTGGTTTCTTATTTCAAATTCTTTCCACAAATCCGTGTGTACTTACTGACTGATCAAGAATTCTCTTTTTAATCCAGTAAGTTCAACCATCATGTCTTTGCCTGAATATAAACTGACCTACAAAAAAGGTACACAGATGGTGTTGTGGGATTATTTTCAAACAGTGTCACAAGTCACAAACATCAAGAACATGTCATCAAAACACTACAGATATCCTTTACAGTGCTATGCTCAGAATGTCATGAAAATCGTGATTTTGTTGAATCGCGCGTTCATGTTATGCACCAACAGTATAATACACAGTCGGCTGGGATTGTTAGTGAAATAAATGTAAAACGTCAAGAAGCAGCCATATTTCCAGAGCTTTCATCTGTACAAGGCAGACCATCATCAGCTTAATGACGTCAACCGGACAGATATATCTGATAGTCCCAGAACTTGAATTTTACCATTAGTTGCGCATTCTCCCTCTGCGAAAGTGGATGCTAACAGTGACGTCATCATCAACCCCGTTGGGTCACCACATCAGCATGAACCCCTTGATGTGACAACCACGCGCTGTCGTCATCCGGGGCAACGACCACGTGTGCATGTCATTAACCCGCCAACATCGACTGAATCGTCTACGTGGGTCGATTAACGTGAGGCGCTGGCGAGGTTGCAACTGTGTACGATATCTGTTGTGTTTTGACAACATGTCAACCATGTTTGTGACTTGTAAGTTGCAATTATGCTGGTTTCAGGAACAAGATCCCAAAGCAGCAGTTGTGTACTTTCTTTTGTAAGTGAGTATATTTGGAGTTATGCTGTGACGTGAACTGGAGATGCTCGATCGAAACAAATAGTATCCATTGACATTTGACCACAACGTCATCAGGATTTAACTCAGCCAGTTCAGGCCTGTCAGTTGAAATCAGAACGAGAGCTGGTGTTTTTTCCACAGATACGCTACTTCTTACCATCCGTCTGGGCTGACAGGAGTTTCCCCCTCAACTGAGTTGATAGACACTAACAACATCAGTTCAATGAGGAGACGCTACAAACGCCACTTTCATATGGTCATATAGATTTATTAAAATTCCCGTTCAGGATTTCAACTGACTGCTATATTATGCACGATACAGCAACATCTGGTTGTGGGGGTCGTTGACGGACCAGGTAATATGTACCGCAAGTCCCGTGGACTACAAGAATATAATCTCCGTATTCATAATTTCACTAGTATTGAAAACGCACCAGTCTAAAATTGTCCATATTTTCATCGAGATGGATTTCAGCATGACAATTATCAGTGAATATGACTAACATGAAGTCGCAGGCCTTTTTTGTTGAAAAAAAGTGTTTTAGAAACAAATTCCTGTTCACAGCATCAATCTTTATTCCAACACGCAACAACATGCATCCACGCCATGAAAAACCGAAATTCGTTCTGAAATCATGCTGACTGTGACCTTAAAAGCAGGTGTATGAGAAACAATTTTCATTGCTTCACTAACGATTGTACCGCCTCCGTGGTGAAGTGGTTAGAGCGTCAGCCCGGTGAGCGGAAGGTCGCGGGTTCGATCCCCGACCGCGTCATACCAAAAGACGTTAAAATATGGTACTTGTTGGTCCCTGCCTGGCGCTCGGAATTAATGGGTACAATAAGGACTGGTCGGCTCGGAGTCAGTATAATGTGTCTGAGTGGGGTATTCATGATTCACTGCGGCATGGTATCTCAGTGGGCTAGCACTATAAAACCAGCTTCAGTCTTGGCTAGTACAAGATGCCGCACATACACATTCACACGCATGCACGTCGTCATATGAGCGAAATATTCTCAAGCACGACGTTAAACCCAATTTCACCTCACCTCACTTCACCTCACCTCACCTCACCTCACCTCACTAACGATTGTGAAACGAGGACAGAGATGCCGGGGTTAACACCTCAGGAAAGAGAACGCGCACTAGCCATGATTCAGCTTGGCACAAGTAGCAGGTAGAGGTTACAACAATCTCATGGTGTGGTAGTCACTGATGAGTCACGTCTTCACCTACGTAATGTTGACGGCCGTTTACGTGTTTGACGCAGACGTGGTGAACTAAATGCTGATGAGTGTGTGGTTCAGACAGACTGTTTGGGTGGTGGGGGTGTCATGGTCTGGGGTGAAATAAGTTACAATCGCAGGACTGCCCTTCATGTCTGTCAAGGGAGAGTTAATGCCCTTTACTACCGTGACCAGATTCTTCATAATCACGTCGTACCATTCTTCAATCACCACCAAGATGTCCATACTTTTCAACAGGACAACGCACGGGCAACCACAGCTAGACTTTCCATGCAGTGTCTTGAACAGCTTTCCTGTATTGCGAGAGAGGACATTTTTATGACCTTGAATATTCATTGCTCGGAGTTTATCGAGCACCCGTTTGACGTGAATGAGGCACTTTGTGTCCTAGATCTCTAGCGTGTTGATCGTTGCTGGTGATATATGACATAGTGCATTGGTTTGCCTACTTCAGATTCGAGGGTTTATGATCAGCCCTGACATCCCATAAGTTGGACATATAGGTGTCTGTCTCTTTTCGCTCACTGAGACAGTGTTCCATTCCAGTCAACTCTATTTCTACTTGTGTCCTAATATAGTTCCTAAGTAGTTCCATGCATGAATTAACAAAGGATCTTAAACATCGGGATTATAATATGTCTTCAGCAATCCACGCTTGTCATAAGAGGCGACTAACGGGATCGGCTGATCAGGCGCGCTGACGTGGTTGACACATGTCATCATATCCAATTTGCGTAGATCGATGCTCATGCTGCTGATCAATGGATTGTCTGGTCCAGAGTCAACTAGTTACATTTATCTGGAATAATGATGCATTTGGTGCTAAACAAACAAACGGAAGAAGCAACAAAGGGGATCGGTTGGTCAGGCTTGCGCAGATCAGAGGCGTAGATCAGTGCTCATGGCGTCAATCACTGGATTGTGTGATCCAGAAGACGTTATTTACACCGGCATATACCTAGTGCATCGTTAGACATCAAACAAACAAATACAACAGACATCAGGTGATCTATAAAACATGGAACAACGTATAATGTGCAAATTACTGTTGTTTAGGAGTCTACATCTCATTAACAGTATTACCATGTATTGTTGCTCAAACACCGTGGATTCGACATGACGCTGTCATCATAGCAAGTCAATGTTTAATTTCCTTGCAGTACAGTTTGTACAGCTACGGTCAACATCTATGGGCTTAGTTTGTTTGAACCGGTTTATCCGTGTGTCGCGATACTCGGCGCAGGAATAGGTCAAGGTGACTTGATGAAACTAGTCGCACACACTTACAGACAACCAGCCCTTATCGTACAAAGCGGTGTGGGGCAGAGCGCAGAGCAACCATTGTGAAAGTTTACGGCGGGTTTCGTAATGCAAAACCCACTACAGCTTGTTCAGCTTGACCTGATCAAGTGAATAGTAATGCATTGCGTGACCGAGTCACAACCGGTTGGATCTATTATTGTGAAGGGGTGCGTTTTTTGTCAATTGATTGTCCGCATGTCCGAACAGCCGAGACAAGGTCGCCGTTTAATATCTCAGTGTCGAGAAATCGTGGGCAATGTCCTAACTTTCTTGAAATAGAAGCTACAGATGGTTTAAAGTTTCCGATTCGAGCTTTTAGGCAGCAAGCAGCAACATTAATAACATTCTCTGCTCCCCTTGTTAATGAAGTTAACTCGACCTGCCGTTTGTGCCATTTACATGCAGATGCAGAGTAGCTCAGGTCAAGTTGAACAAGCTGAACATTGTCCTGGTTGGTGGTTAAGTCGTATTTGAAATTCAGTCCTATGTTTCATGTCCACTGTTGTACTGATGGAGACAAATGTCTGAGTATCAGTCGGGACAGAAAGTGATGATTTCACGTTTACTATTTGTGTTGTGTTTCAGGGGACAAATTAACCCTCATTAACAAAGGCAAACATTTATATATTGGGATCATCTGTTCTTGTTCAGAAGAATGGCAGAAATTGGTTTGTTGATGGTTATGTCAAAGTCCGATCTGTCAAATGGCTAGAGGACCTGGGTTTGGGTTTTGATCTGAGGCCGCATCACACTGAATGAGGGGCGGTGGGGTAGCCTGGTGGTTAAAGCGTTCGCTCGTCACGCCGAAAACCCGGGTTCGATTTCCCACATGGGTACAATGTGTGAAGCCCATTTCTGGTGTCCCCGCCGTGATATTGCTGGAATACTGCTAAAAGCGGCGTAAAACTACACTCACTCACACTGAACGACGCAAACTGATGGTATTTGTTACAGGTTGCCCGGCCTTACGCTCAGCATTTAGTGAAAAACACCTTATGCCCCTCTCTCTCTCTCTCTTTCACTCTCACTCTCTCGTATTGTATAATTGTATATGTGCGTGTGCGCACGCGCGTTTTCTTGTACGAGCCTTGACTATCGCTATGCCAGATACCATGCCCCCGTGAAAGTCCGGGTTAGTAATTGATCTTCAGTAACCCATGCTTGTCGTACGAGGCGATCGGATGGTCAGGCTGGCTGACTTAGTTGACACATGTCATCTTATCCCAGGTGTGTAGATCGATGCAAATGCTGTTGATCACTGGATTGTCTGGTCCAGACTCGATTATTTACAGACAGCCGCCATATAGCTGCAATATTGCTGACTGCGGCGTAACACTAAACTCACTCACTCACTCAGATACCATACCGTAGTTTACTATAGATGCCCCAGTCAGACACAGTGTATCGACTCCGAGCCGACCACCCCTTGTTTCATCTTATTAACGCGGAGCGCCAGCCTGGGCAACAACAAGTACCTCTTTTCACTTATTTTTGTATGACGCGAATGGGGATCGAACCCACGACGTTCATTTCTCGGAGCACACAGTGTCCTCTCGAACAGAACTACTGTGGATTTAGCATCTATAATGCACGATCTCATCTTGGTCATGTTGTCAATGTTCATAGCCCATAGGTATTCACAGCCCGTGATATTGCTGGTATAAAAACCAGTCATCCTTATCAGAGTCACTTTCAGATGAAACACACCAGATGAAGATATGCTACAAATGCAGGTGTTATAGTTTCCATACATAACTGCCGAGAAAAAAAGTACAGTGGACTCCCTATAAACAAACCCACTAGGCGTACGGGTATTTGACCAATCAATAGATGTTACTGAGGAAGTAGCACAATTCATAGCATTCTAAAACCATTTATAGTTGGTAATAGTATTATTTAATAGTATTATTTAATGAAGACACATTAGCTTATTGAAACTGACATTATTTATTACGGGCAATGTGTAAACAAGATAGATAACAATATATTGTGGGGGTGGGGTGACATTTCCTTGCATATCGAACTGCCATGAACCGTTGATAATCGAGATGTAACAATCCTAAAGTAAAGAGTAACTGTCCTTCATACGTTATTGTTCAGAGATGTACCCTAACAATTTCTCTGACACAACCCGTACCTGAGAAAAGGACACAAAGAGCCACTCCCTGGAAATAGTTCAAACTATATTGAAGAAAGCTTTTGAGAAGAGACGACGCCCGGTACAAATTAGCCGTTAAAGCGAAAAGAATGATTCCCCACGTATTTGATTAGGTTGCAGGTTGCAAGTCGTCAGTATTTGACTACTCTTTTATGCGTACAATACGGCATTCACCTGGGGCAATGATACGCACGGCTCCAACTTTTTTTTTATTTCAGGACCCACTTCGTAAATTACACAGTAGTGAAAGAGGGTCATGTTAACATGAATGAAGATATAATACTAAACGGTAGAACATGTTGACAATGTTACACGTGTGTTGTTGTTGACAATGTTACACGTGTGTTGTTGACAATGTTACACATGAGTGTTGTTGACAATGTTACACATGCGTGTTGTTGACAATGTTACACGTGTTTTGTTGACAATGTTACACATCTATGTTGCATACAATGTTACACATGTGTGTTGTTGACAATGTTACACATCTATGTTGCATACAATGTAACACATGGGTGTTGTTGGTAATGTTAAACATCTATGTTGCATACAATGTTACACTTGTATGCTGTTGACGATGTTAAACATCTGTATTCCATACAATGTTACACATGTGTGTTGTTGTTGACAATGTTACACATCTATGTTGCATACAATGTTACACATGTGTGTTGTTGTTGACAATGTTACACATCTATGTTGCATACAATGTTACACATGTGTGTTGTTGTTGACAATGTTACACATCTATGTTGCATACAATGTTACACATGTGTGTTCTTGACAATATTACACATGTGTGTTGTTGTTGACAATGTTACACATGTGTGTTGTTGTTGACAATGTTACACATCTATGTTGCATACAATGTTACACATGTGTGTTCTTGACAAAATTACACATGTGTGTTGTTGACAATGTTAAACATCTATGTTGCATACAGTGTTACACATGTGTGTTGTTGACAGGTTAAATAATATGTGTGTTGTTGAAAACGTTACACGTGTGTTGTTGGCAATGTTACACATGTGTGTTTTTCTGAACACCATTCAACCGTACATCTCCAGATGCTATCTTGCTTTTTGACGTCAGGTTGTATTTGGTGCTCGAGGTTGACCTGAAAGGAATGAAGAGTTATATTTATTATTCATCGTGATGTCGTCTCACTGTCAGTTCAAATAAACGTACTTAGCCTTCGCGGAAGTTGGTACACTCGCATTTCCTTATATCTATCCGTCCTGTGTTTATGCTGCTTATATTGCAGGACGCAGATAGTGAAATATAGTTCACTATATGCCGACAACATACTACGGATCCTTGAAATCTCCAAGGCTTATTATGATGAAACCAACTTCATAAATATTGATACCATAAACGATAAACCATAAACCTCAATCTGGGTCTAAGTTTAACATATTATTAACTTTTGGGAGGAGGGTGAATATGGCTTTCGAAATATTCTATAAGCTTTAGCACTGGTGAAAATGCATTAAAATGCATTCTTATTTAATTATTACTTTGTTTTTATCAAACAATATAAACTGATATGAAAATCAAATAAATGTCATCAGAGGCCGTTTTGTTTACCAATAACGACTCAGACATGGTTATTAATAGCATTTTATAGTCAAACGCATGAGAATGTCAGTATACACACATACAGACATCCTCATCAAACCATCTCCGTTACACTCCTACAGTAGAGTACGAAAACACCTACTTTCCGAAAGCTTCGGCATCTTCAATAGTTTCGGGTAGCGTTGTGTTCAGGGTCTCAGGAAGAAAAAGAGAGAGACCCCCGGCAGCCACAGATAACACGCCGAACACAATGAGTGGCAGCGCCACCTGCAGGTCGCCGCCAATGAGAAGACCCTGAAAGAATACAAAGAATGCTACCATGACTTCAGTAAAACCTGGATTGTGATTAGTTAAAGTCATTCAGGGGCATATAATCACGCTATATACCTCTGATTTCCCAACACAATATGTATTTTAATATAAACCTTAATAACACGGTTATGGGAGAATAAAGATAAACATACTGACCAGTGTGTTCTCAACAATAAAAGATAAAATACATACTCTTTTAGTATATTGAGAATATATAGAAAAACTATGTAACTCAACAACAATGTGAGATACCGAGCAGCTTATAACCGTATTTCAGACACACGTTGTTGGTGGTGTCATATGACCTTTGACGTCACGAACCTTCCACTACAAAGTCACCCCGCCCACCTTGACATGTTGGACGAAAGTTCAAAGTGATGTTGAACATGGTTAATCTATGATAAAAGGATACTTAAAATGTATGAACATAAATTAACCTGGAGTTTAAAGATTGCATCCCGATGTAAATCCCGCAGTTGTATATCTAAATATACTCATGGACAAAGTATCGCAACACCTATGATTTAAAACCCCCATAGAACCATTGATATTCACATCATAAGTATGTTTGTTTGTATGATTATTATGACCCTTCGGAAGCCCCATACATTGGTTTTAGGCCATGCATTGATTCGGGAATATGAGATCATGGGGAAAGGTCCACTGACGAAAGTCGATTTTCCTTTGTTCATGATGAAGGCCGGGGTCGTGTTTGACGCCGCAGAAACACTACATATGCACAAATGAATATCTTGCCGCATCCTGGGCCGTTTGGGTTCATTCATGGTGCTTGATCTTGTGCCGATAATTAATGGACAACGGTACAGCACTGACATCCTAGGTAAGGTTGTTTTTACACATTTCCTTGGCAATACTCTTGACACAAGGCCAGTCTTCATGGACGACACATCTAGGCAGCATCGTGCAAGTGCCACTGGTAATTTCTTGGCAACTCAACCTTGGCCCTCCAGGAGTCCAGACCTCAATCCCACATAGCTGGGCCTTATGGGTCGCAGAATACGCCAGAGATCCTCCAGTAAACAAGCTGTATGTGTTGGAATAAGCCCTCCACCAAGAATGGAACACAGTACCTGAACGTCAAAATCCAGAATCTGATGTAGTAAATGAGGCGGCGGGTAAGGGACGTTATTGTAGTTGGCGGAGATTACACTACTACACTAGATGTTGGCATTGGATATTGATATTAACGTGATTTCTTCTGGATTGTATGCCAGACACTTAAACATGACCTCACTTGTTAACGTCACATGACCATAGATATCGGCACTACTATATGAGCAGTTGTTTGTCACGTTTGCTTCTTTGGATAATTACAGTGTTTTGTTCTTTTTGTAAGTTAAATCGAGGTTTCCTTCGCTATGGGTTATTAGTTTAATTTAATTTGTTTATTAAATTAAGATATTAACATAATGAAACTATGGGATGTTGCGATACTTTTATCCAGTTAAATCGAGGTTTCCTTTGCTATGGGTTATTAGTTTAATTTAATTTGTTTATTAAATTAAGATATTAACACAATGAAACTATGGGATGTTGCGATACTTTTATCCACGTGTAAATACAGGGATCATTGAACTCCCATTAATTGTGTCATAAACAATAGAACTAGTCAAATATTTAACCATAATTTGTTGAGAAGTAAAACCAAGTATAATTTCATTTTACTTACCAGATCTGCAATATAGGGCGAGGTCATTCCGCCTATCTTCCCACAAGTAGAGCTGGCGCCCACGCCGGAGTTGCGCACAACAGTGGGCAAGAGTTCGGCAGAAAAGACATAGATAATGGCGAACGCAGCTGACACTCCGAACTTTCCGATCATTGAGAGTAGGATGGTGACCCACGAGGGTGCTGGGACAATATTTGACCGCAGTCGTTAGTGTTGATTGATTGACTGACTGACATTGTTTTCAAGCGTTATTTAATATATTACTGATGTTACAACTGTGTAAAACATATTATATATTCGAACTCACACCATCTGGATACCTCATATCTGGAGATTCATCACACAACCCGATTAGTGTATATAATAACACTTTTTGAAAGTTTTTAAATGACGAAAACAGGTTTCTTTCTGCTATCCACTGTTTCAAAAAGTAAAACTTTAGTACCTAAACATCCATTAAAAGAATAAAACGTAAAGTCAACTTCAATTTGTTTTCACATTACTCTATAGGTATGCCTGAAGGCGAGCCTTGTTAAGTCGTTGCAGCTGCAGCAGCACAATACGCTGGATGCTATGGAATGTTTAATGAGTTCGCGGATGTCATTTCAATGTTTCAGTATCAGGGTGTAGGGGTGTACAACCCCAATGTATAAAATCGAGACAATGTGTAAAAACTAACGCAATATGTAAAAACTTAACGCAAAACGATGATTACACAATCCGACTTCCGGTTGTCCGACATCCATTTTTGTGGAAGTCGCGGTGGCTGAGCGGGTTAGGTGGCAGACTTTGTGTGCTGGCGATTAGGCGCCTGACTCTGAGGGTGTGGATCCGAATCCCGGATGGGACACAACCCCCAAAAGTACTAGAATCTGTACTATACTAAGAAAGTGTAATCCCAAATATAACATATGTTAACGCAAAACGTTTTGCGTTAAGTTATTACATATTGCGCTAGTTTTTACATATTGTCTTGATTCTACATACTGGGGTTGTACAAGGGTGTAACCTACCTGCATATATAACAGGGAACAGCACTACCACACACGCCAACCCTCCCACTAACATACTGCTGCAGTGGAGCAGCTTCCTTCCAACCTTGTCCATCAGCAGTATACACGCCACGTATGACGCCGTCTCCACGATGCTGGAGATGGTGTAGTTGAGGTAAATGTCGCCGCTCAGGTTCTGTACATTCAGCCCAAGACCGTAGTACGCTATGTTCACAACAAACCTAAAACAGAAAACAATCAGAAGGATTATCGACATGAAAAAACACTTTGGGGAAGTGTGTGAGTGACAGTGTGTGCGTGTGCGTGCGTGTGTGCATGCGTGCGAGCGTGTGTGTATTACGACACTGCGGATTACTATTTATAAAGTGGATATTTGGGGAATATGTTTTTTGATATATGGAGAGTCACACTTTTGTGTCTTTTGAAATTCCAAATATCAACACTTGTGGATGAACGTTACTTCAGTTGACTCGGGTAGACATATTTGATGTTAAAACAAACAGGTCCTCACGCAATATTATTTCTAAATTTATACTGCTTTGTGAAACCATATTGCAAGACTTGAGGAAACTGGCGCTAAATTGTAAATGCTTTCAGACAAGACAGGGTGTTGTGTACGTTTTTGGACTGAATACAGCAGTCCAAAATACAAAGCGTATATCATATCAATACAAACGCTGACACGACTTCATCAAATAGTAACAAGCAATGTTTCTATTTGATTTTCATATGTAAATAGATTATGTATTCACACATTTCTGATCTGTATGATTGATACTGATGATAATGATATACCGCTGAAATCACATTATTATTATCCGGATGACCCAAGCTGCCTGTGAGGCGCTACAAGTTTAATACAATACAAAATTCAGTGTTCAGAATTGCCACTCTGGAGAAAGTAAGAATTTGTCTATATATGATGTAACTGTTATACGTTAGAAGCTATCAAAAAAATGTGCAAGTAAAATTGTTGACTGAACGACTGTGAGAGAGGATTATAATTATACATGTTGGATGTAAATACATTAAATACAAAGAGGCGCGGTGACAAGTAAGGTAGAGGTATTTAAACTAATGTGCCGGCACAAACAAAAATCACATGTTAAAACTGACACTTCAGTTTGCTTATTACTATGCACCGTGAAATTCCCATGTTGCTTCTGACGTCGTGCCCACGTCACCTGTTGTGAAATACTCATGATAATGCTTTATGGGATGCCTTGACACCGCATCAAATACATCACAGTGGAATAAACATTTCTTGTTTATTTCATATTTATCTACAGTGGGTCTATACTTCTCTTTTTGCGCGGCAGTTCGTGCGATAACGTGGTTTAATCTAAGGCTTTCAAATGACATGATTTCAACAAAATGATTTTCTTGTTCTTTGGCAGCTACGTTTGCGGGCAGTAATAGTTCAGGGCCCCGATCTACAAAACATTCGTAGCACTACGACATTCGTAAGCCTACGACAGGTCGTAAATGTTAAGAACGCTTTGTGGATCGGAACATGGGGCAGCATTTATGGCAAGGTATAGAGGAAACCTAACAATATTCACATTTTTTACAAGGATATCGTGAATGTTTTGTGGGAACGGGTATTTCTCAACTTACTACCAAATGAAACATATGGGGGTTTGAGATGATTATTTTATCAAAAGAGCATTGTTATTTGACTTTCCTTATACAAACAACACATAATGTAATTATATCGTATACTACATGCCAGTTGAAGAAGATGATTAGGGTTCTGTTTCTGATGATCCTTGAGGTGAACAGTTGAGTAAACTTCCCTCGGTCTCCCTCATCAACGGTCAGCTCAGCCAACATTGAGGCCGGAAGTTCTACTCTGTTTATCTTTGCCGCTTTCTGAATGATAGCTTCCGCTTCCGCTTTGCGACCACGAGACAACAGCCACCTTGGGGATTCTGGAATCAGCCTTAAGAAATAACATTAAGCGTAGCTGATGTCTAGTGTGTGTGTGAGTTATGATATTTAATCACATCGGCAGTATTTCAGCCATATCTTGACTAAAACAAGTAATATATTTGTAACATAAGTTATAAGTAATACATTCATGATACATTCATGACAATAAAAACAACTAGAATATCACTGATATAGATGTAAAACTAGCACGTTGAGCTCAAACTACATGCAATATATAAACAGGCTATAGATCGCCGACAACTGCTACCTGCATGGACTTTAGCTAGATTTACACAGTCATTTCAGCGATTGTGCTGTTAATCTATTTCAAGAATGGAAGTGTCGATAATACTGACGTAATTCTTATATCTTAGAAATTATACATATGATATGTGTTGGTCTGAATCCGTCTCACAGACTTTTTTTTTATTCATTCAAAATCAGTAGATACAAATATACAAAGTACATGATGCAACAGAACTTGTGCACAATAAAACAGAAATTCATATGGGTTGGCATTACACATATTGGAATCTTCATTAAGCTGGCAATGTGTGCCATTTTCGGTCAAATTGAAAATATGTTTTGATTCTTATTGGCAATAAACTTTTCTGTCTTGAAAATATCACTCAATATTTTTACAAATGTATCCAGTGATAACTTATTTTTTTAAATACTTGATACATTGATGCATGTTTTACTGGCAAGGAGTATGTGGTTCATAAGGTCGTTATTATTTCCGCACCTTAAGACTGTATATTTTGTCAGGGTAAAATTTTCTGATGATTTATCTTCAATATATTCTTTCAGTTTCAACCAGAACGTTTTCACACATTCACATTCCCAATAAACATGTATCAAATTTTCTGACATTAAATTACAAAATGAAGGAGCAAATTTCTTCATCTACTAATGTGGCAGTCACATATATTTGTGTTACTGTCAAATAAACCATACACTGTACACCACTGTAATTAGTATTAGTATTAATAGTGACATTAGTATTTGCGTTAGTATTAGTACTAGTTATTAGTATATAGTGAATATAGTATTGGTATTGGCATTAGTTATTAGTTTTAGTTATTAGTTAGTAGCTATTGATATTAGTTAGCATTACGGGTGTGAAGGATTTTAATTAAGAGGTGATACTACACCTTAAATATTTTAACTTGGATATGCTTGGGTCAGTCACTTACCTATCACTTCCTTTGTTTAAACCAGGGCAAATGTTCTGGTTGAGTGGCTGACCCTATTGTTCTTAGCTTGCAAGCTTTTAACCCTCACTTGCACCTCAGTCACTGGACAGAGAAGTCACCAACAGACTGCAGCAATTTATATATATATCAGTTACTTCACTACTGTCAAGGTATGTTTGTTTAATTAAATACATAAACATATATGTGTATATCTTTTCATAAATAAGGTTATATAAACATTATGTTATGTATGCTAAATAAGGTAATTTGTACATTTGAGAGAGGTTTAGTAAATGGCAAAATCTCCTGGATAGGCAGGTATTTGAATGAGTATTTTGATTTATAAGTTTATGAAGCTTTAATCATGTATGTGTTGTGTATGTATGTGTATATATGATAGTATTAGGATGTTTGGTATTTTACTGTGTGCTATGCCAGATCTGTAAATATGTGCTTCCTCAAATTCCCTAGAGTTCTATCAATAATTTCTAGTCTTTTTCTTGTATTAATTACCCAAAGGTTATTTAAATTAGGATTCAGCCTTATTCCTAGAATATCAAAATCCCCATTATGCCAATCAAGCTTAAGATTCTGGCATAAAAACCGTCTCATAAACTTGGTGAAATACACATTACAGAGAACTGAAGATAATCTTTTTAAGTACTTCAGCCTTTGTTGATTGTTAAATCCGAGAATGAAGGTAGTTCCGTCCGTTTCTGTAAGTTTGGATTTGCCCTGCTTCGGAAAAAAATGAACTCATCAGAAGAAAACGAACCACCAAAATCCAAACAGGAGAGCGGAAGGCACTGAGATGACGAGCTGTAATGTCTTCCAGTAGCGGAGGGCGTAGGCAACCGCCCCCAGGATGAACATGCCCACACTCCAGAACAGCTGGACGCCTACCCCAGCCAACACTCGCTTAGATGGACCAACCATCTCCAGACCTTAAAGAATGAGAGAGCGTAGCATATTATCTTGTATAATATTGCATACACTAAACGCCAAAAAGAAACGTTACCCTCCTAACTTTATGAATTACTTAAAAACTATCAACGATATGTTAGAGGGTATTAGTTCACAAGAAAGCTTAACAACACAGCTTTATGCAAATCACGAAAATAATTTCTCAGATGCATTCATATTTAGGTGAAATGCATCCTTTTCAGAAGAGTTAAAATAGTCCTATTTGCGACCATGCCGAAATAAACCAATAACAGTGATTTAGATGTCCAAAAGAAAAGTTGGAAAAGAAAGTTCTCTTTTGAGACAAAGATTAAACATTTATTTAAAGTCACGATTTTTCAACTATTAAAACAAGCAACAACTGTTGTAGAGTGTGTAAAATTGTAAAAGAATAATTCATGAGATTTCAGTCTTTTAAAACATTTTCTGCTTATTTGCATTGGTGTAAAACGAGTCTTTGATCTTGTGAAAAAGTGTTTAGGAACATCTAAAAATATGTTTGTTAACATTTTGGCTTGCAAAACCTTTTTCCATTTTCGGTTTACACATATCAATATCAATCGCCAAAACGTAGCAATATTCAAGCAGTATTTGCATCAATTTCACGTGTAGAACGATTCTATAGGGTATAAAGAGAGCCTAGAATGTATGATATGATACACAAGCACGAGAAATATGCCACGATTAACAGTCGAAGAGAGAGAAAGAGCCATTGGGACGGTGCAGATGGGGTCGACATGCAATGCTGTTGCCAACCCCCACAGATGCCACCGTATCACGGTTATAAGACTTATTCAGCGCTACAGACAGACTGGGGTCACCGTAGACAGACCAAGAAGTGGAAGTCCACGCATCACAACGCCAGCTGAAGATAGGTGTACCTCCGTCAATAAAGAAGGAGAGTAACGTTTCTTTAGGCGTTTAGTGTATTCCCGTCTTAATGCTTCTGTTTGTATTAGTTTGTTAATAAACTATGTCCTCAAAACCTGTCAGTAGTCTAAATGCTATTGACAGATGTGAATAAACTCATGCAAGTTTTTGTTTCATTTTCGAAAACATATTGGACCAGTAGGAAGAGAAAAAGAAGTTCAATTTCTCTATTTCCCGACTGATAATGGTATGAAATGTTGGCGACGCGCAAAGTTTGGAATATTTTTACAAGACCCACTGACCCTGCTGAGTTCAGAACGTTCCCACTGAAAGGCGTTACACTTCAACTCATGTTTGAAATGTACAGTTACATCATAGTTATAGTTACACTGTATTAACAGAAGCTCTTAGTACTGCCCGTGTATAGTCTATATACAATCTGTAAATAGGAAATAGTAGCCAATGCATTTTAAAACACTACTCAAAAGTGTCACGTGTAGTATGAATCGGGGTTATATGGACGACCTTGACAGTTTGTGACCTTTGACATTGAAATCCAAATCATTTGGATCCAGTTCAGCCCTTATCATCACAAAAGTTGTTTTACCATTTTTGAGAGAATATGCTGGCCTATTTGCTTTTATCTACGAAGTGGAAATAGAATGGATTCTAACATATCCTAAACGGTGGCATTATTTGAAATGACACGTCCCTCAAAACATAGTTTCTAAACCTACAAGACTAATGTCCCTTTGAATATTGCCTGACACAACAATCATAGTTTATCGTCCTATACCGCGGCGGAAATAGAAGATAAATAGATGAAAACGCTCTGGCACTTATTCACCATTGTAGCATAACATCATCTACAGATTATTTGCCATGAAACTGTAAACGTGGATTAACTGACTGAAGTGTGACAAGATTGTCAAACATTTTACAGCGTTTACAGGGGATCAAGAAAAACACTGGACTTTCGGTGATGGTAAATAAGTAAACAGTCACTGAGCATATACCAGTATTCATGTGCCTGATTATCAGACACGGGGTATATAATACAAACATAAAACCTGAATAAAGTACAGTTCATTGAACTTTTTAAGTTTATGGACCGTTCATTATTTATGGCTAGGGGTGATGATTTTAAAGGGGAGCGCCCATTTTGTTCTGGGGAGGTGTGTGTGTGGTGGTGGTGAATTTAATTTTGTACACGTGTATTGATTTTGTACATGCAAGGGGAAGGGCCACTCACTTTGTACAGAAATCTTGGGGGTGGGTGTGTGTGGGGGTGGCGTTGGTGGGGGAGGTATTATTCACATTGTACATGCTTCTCCATAAAAGTCATCTTCATCAACCCCCTCAAGCCATAAATCATGAACGGTCCCTTATATTGATAATTGATGAAGATTTTACCTCGCTTCATGCAATATTGCGAAAAACGAGTCATAATGAATGCGTTCAAAATACTTCAACAATATTGGTATTCGAAGCTTAAATTCTGCATGATCACAAAAATATCAAGAAATCAAAGTCTAGAAAGGTAAGTAATACTATTCTTGTCATAGTGTATGCTATCGTTTCAACAGTTCTATGAACGTGTATTTACAGGCGTCTAACTACAATCTTCAGTATCATACAAACCCTTTTAATCGAAAGACCCGTAATGTCTATGAAAGACGTTGTCATTATGCCGCCTTGGAATGAGTCCAAACAGTTTCCTAATGTCACTAAATCGCGACTGATTTTATCATATTTTAAATAGAAACCCGTCAACTTTCTTTCCATTGCGTTTACAATTTAAGCTTGTGGGTTGATCGACCATTATATTAAATACATGCAAGCATGACCGATTTACCGGGTATTAAAAACCGGACACGTGCTGTGCTGTTTGCTGGATATGCACTGAATAAGAGGCTGTTAATTCGTGCATATGGATGCACGCTTGCTGACGACCAAGCCAAATTAATACTATTCAGGAGACACCCACGGGGTATCTCTTGTCGTCTTAAACAGTTGTGCATTGAAGAAATATTTGAAATGTTTTAATTTCCATTTACCACTGTGATCGAGTACATTGGGGACAATAAGGATCACTTGTGTCATTCCGGGAAACGCCGAATGACTGATTATGGAAAGGGCCGAATTGGGAAGTACGCCAATGCAGTTCAAACCTTATAAATACATGTATGCTCAAAGCAAGTTCCAGTACAGTCATATGCAATGTACTGTACACTGCAGTCTATCTATCTATATGTCTGTGTGTCCAACTGCGGCATTAAAGAAAAAATAAACTTTTGTTTTTTTGTACTCTTTTAACCATTACATATGACAGACTTGTGGCTAGTCTTAAAGGTCACATGCAACGTAAAACACAACTTTGCAGATTCTGATACCTTTCGGTATGGACTTACCGAAACAAAGCGTCAAAAATGCAAATTCAACTTATAAAGTTGAAAAATAACGCGATGAAAAAAAACGCGCGAAATCGGAGTTCAAACGTTTCACTAATTTTCCCCAGACTTTTCTGGGGAATACGGGTTTCAACAGCTGGGCTGCGCTCATAGCACGTGCGCAGTGAAATAGGTTCGCGCAACTTGGAAGCGGGCTGTCTGGTGAATACTCGGTGAAGGCTTTGGTGTGAGCTATTTTCGTAATGTTTTGTTGATATCTCACAGGCGCGAGCTTTTTATATGTTATGACAGTAAATAAACTGTTAATATAATTTCATTTGTCTATTTCACCACACGTTCTTCTTACCGAGTCACTTTCTCAGTTCGATACTTAAAAGCAATGTCATTATTTAGCGTTGACAGAATTTCTAACTGTGATATAGATATGTCGCTGTCACAGACAAAACTCAATGTCTTGTTTTATTGACACCTGTGTGTCTGCCTGCCTGTCTGCTAATGACAATATTCAATACACAACTGCGATCACTGACCACATGCAATTTGAACTTAACACCAATCAGGCTATACACCATAAACAAAACGCATTGATTTATGGCCCGAGTTCGGTCTCTGTCACATTATGTAAGTACACAGACAGGCAGGTGTGATACTTGAACACATGACATGTTATGATGTCTGTTGATTGCAAAATGTTATACACAAAAAATGAGCATGTACTAGTATTTACAAAACCCAACATCTCTATATATACACACACAATGAGCCGTGAAGGCGGCATCTGCTAATGAACCAGCCGTTACACTTGAGTGCACACCCACCCGCTCTGACTGGGTTCGGTATCCCGGCTGCTTCGTTTCGAGGGAGGTAAACCCAAGTACAAAATATTGCACTTTTGATTTGCGATTATACGCTTATAATTTTGTTTATTTGTTTTTTCATAATCAGCAATGCATATTATATGTCATGAAGAAGTGATAATTGTGTTTTAATTATGTTTGATTTTTTCGTTGCATGTGACCTTTAAGCGAAACTTCAAATTCGTTCTTAAAAAAAATTGTGGTTAATTAATACCGAGCGATTAAAAGTTGCAAAAAGTCGCCTGCTTCACTCTCGCCCGCCAACGAAACCATAGAGAGGGTTACATAACTCTGTTGCCAGAGCACAGCGAACGGGAAGTGACGTTATGTGAGGAAGGATTTTCAGTTCGTTGTATATAAAGTGTGTAACAAGCTCGTCATTTTTCTGATTTCTTGACGTCAACGAAGACATGCCGAATCGTTGCGTTGCCGTCAATTTATCCCAGGGGTCGGGGGATGGTGTGACCATGCACTGATTTCCGTAGTTCGTGCTAAATGGGTTATGTTTGTGAGTGCGGTGAAAACAAACCTAAATAGCATTTATTCTCAGACTGGCGGATGTTCGCGACAGGGCGCCGCCATTTTAAAAAATCGGGATGTCACGGGTTAAAGTCTGCTAAAGAATCAATGAGATTATGGTTTGTTTTCATCAAGTTAGAAAATCAAAACTACTTTCTACTCGTAGTTAAATATGTAATTGAATCATGACCAAAAGGATTTTCCAAGCCACAACTTGTAACATAACGATTTCTTCCACGGAAGCGAGGTGGGGGTCGACGTGATAATACTGCGCGATAAAGTTCTTGCTAAATTCACGTGCTTAACGTCGAGATTATAGGGAAA